TTCAAGGCTTACATTTTCAGGGATCTGATTAATTCCAATTTAAATCAAAAAATGACATCATTTATACAGACAACTGAAAATACCAGAGAGTACTAGACAGTCGCTTAGTCCTAGTGTGGAATTCTTTGGTAGCATTCACCTATGACCCCAACTGGAACCAATCTCAAAACCTTAAGGATACAAGAACAGCCCGCCGACTATTCATCCACCGGGAGAGAATATAATAGCCAGTCCATGAATTCTAACTTTTATCAGTTCGTGATACATGTCGCCACATCTAGCCTATGTCATAAGCGAGTGTTTAACCTCACATTGAACCTGATGAACCCAACTTCGTCATTCTATAAAATTCTGGTTTTAATAAGAAAGGAAGTAAAGAGTTTTCTGAAGTGACAAAAACTTTTGTCAAAACAAAACGAACAAGATTTGTAGGACATAAAAATGTGCACACTTCACATTCTGCTTTCTTAAGTAATAACAGTATTTGCAAATGCTATATTAACCACCTCATTTATCAGTGATTTTTTATCAGTTTATCTGTAATAGATATGTACATTCAAAACAAAGATAACATGACAATAGAAGGCATAGTACTGTTTCTTTTTTACTTTGATCAGACACAGGGCAGTAAACTATGTAATGCACCTAGTACTTCTTTTGGCGCAGACTGGATTCTTTTAGTCAGATTTGCAATTTGACCACCCTACTAGGTGACCCACCATCACGATGTGTTCTGAATTGTTTTTAAACGGCTGGAGGCGATCAGTAGGAAGTGTCCATTGCAGTCCTACAGGAGGTTAATCGCAAGCTGGAACAGCTCAGTAGTAACATCTCTGACTGCGGCACTCAGCCAGCCAGGATCGAATCTCAGAAATGATATGAGTTCATTCAAGATTGCAGATAAGTTTTTCTGACGAGTGCCAAAAAGCACGAAACATAAGTCCAAGGCTTCTTACAGACTACCTTCAACCACCCAACAACACCGTTTCTTTTTTTCCTTAGGAAATATCCATCAATTTTACTTAAAATTGTCCTCTTATATTAAGTTCACCTCTCAACAACAACAACAGCAGCAAAATTGGTGACATTTCACATCACTAAAATAAATTTACTATTTGTTTTAAGGTTTTCAGCTGAATTTTTGCGCGTGTTTTATATTCAAAAATGTCTGACTATTGTTAAATTAACACACAACTTTTATTCCCATTTTTAATTCTAAATTTCAATCTTGAATATATTGTCTATTGATTAGTACTGCAGAAATAGTCTCAAAATGTAACCATTCTCATCAATGAGAATATGTGTTTTTAATAAATCCATTCCTTCGATATATTCACCTTGATCATTCACAATTGAGATCTGTTTCAGTTTTACAACTAGATGTTTACATTACTATTCATCAAAGTCTTGAATATGATAGACAGTTTTCTCGAACTGAAACAATTTAGTAAATGACTTAGCATGAAGTAAACTTTAAAATAAACTGAAATGATACTCATACTCTCACTATCGTATTCGAAAGAAACGCAATGCTCAAAGTATGTGTGCGAATTCATTCTAACATCAACCTTCATGAATATAAAACTCTACGTTGCTCAATAGACTAATTTGAAGTGAATAAATACCCTCATTCAAATAAACTTCATTGGTTCATTCTGTCTTGCAGACTAAAAGGAAATCGTTCGAAGCAAACATCAATCAGAATAAAGAAGTAAGCAGTTTTCCTGCTAATGCAGCAATTGAACACACCTATTTCACGTGAAAGGCCTAGTCAAAACATCCAATTTTCAAGATATTAAAAGTACTGGATTGAAACCACAATGCTGAATGCAGATGTGTAGGTAATTTGACTCTGATATTATTTTACGTTGGTTACATAGTTCTTTTACTCTCCTATAATAATTCACAGTATCTAAATTCATTTCCACCGAAAATGAACTTTAGACTTTAAACATGTTATCTAGCCTCGATTTTTTCCTATAACTGAACTTCTTCGGCCTTCTTATTACTCTTAAACCTTCTATTGATTACAGATTTGATCACGAGCTAATATCACTTAGCGAATAAATGGAAAACAAGAGAGCACTGGACGGCTGCTTCGTCCTAGTTTGGGATTCTATGGCTGAAAGCAACCACTGGGATTCAAGTCCAAGACCTTCCTATTACACTACGAGCTCGCAGATCATTCAGCCAATGAGTCCTGTTCTGCTGGCTGACGAATTCCACCTCCGGAAATTCGCGATATATGATGCAACCGCCGGTCAGTGTTGGATAACTCACATATTACCCATTATCTTGAGCTAAAATTCCTGATACTCACTTTTTACTCTATTCGAATCCCGAAACTTTTGTGGTACCTTCAAAAATACTGCCTGGAAACCTGTAGCTTATTAAAGTTTTTGTAAGACATAGAAGTGGCGAGAAGAAGAGAAAATGTGATGATGGTGATGATAATTAATTAGTTGAAGTTCAATGATGTTACGTTTTTAATACAATCATTACGCCCAATGCATTCCAGGACAGTAATCGGCTGATCTAGTTTCTCAAAGATATCAAAAGTATTTGCTCTATCACTACCCTTAAGCGGAGAATAATTTAGTTCTGACTTGTGACTTCCATGTAAATGACACGTTGCATGCTATTGTCTCGAAGGCATTCACCTACTGATATCATTTTCTACGCGAAAAATTTCTGTTCATAATACTTTCTTATGTAATTCAGTAAACAACTATACTTCAAATTTGAGGAGTACTGATTCAAGTTTGTACTCAGATACTGTTACCACCTTCATGATATCAGAACTTGATTTTCCATGCCAAACTCTTCTTTGGCCTCTGGCAGTTTAAAACTGAGGAGAATGAGACTGCCGGTAGGATGCATTAACTTAAGACAAAATTGTCATTCGTGGAACGGGTCAGTGTATCTGCGATTGGAAAAAAATCGCCGCAAACTGTGTGCAGAGTGTTGATGCCTCAGGAATAAACTGCAGACTAACTATTTGCCATAAACATATTATTCCAGAATATTAGCTATATGGAGTAACAATTATTATTTTACTTTATTTTGAGTTAGGCCTAACGTAGATGTGTGCTCAAAAATAAGACTGAACTATACAAAACCTTTTCTTGGTTTTAGCAGTCCCTATAGTATCAGCTTAGAAGATTTACCTTCTATCACCTAGACTCCACCACACATAACCAACGAAATTCACACTAGCTGTGGGTATAAAGCTTCCTTTCATTAAAAAAATGTCACCATGATTTGTATGCACAAAATTATATTTACTCATTCAAAAAGATTAATTAACCATTAATTAATTTATTTAGATAGCGTGTGTGCAGTCAGCAGATTATTACACGTCCATTTGTGTTTTTATTAATCAATTTATAGGCACATTTTACCTTATGATTAAAGATTTAAGGTAGAAAACGATGCGAAAAATGCTACTGAAAATTAATTGAATAGTTTTACATGAAGAATCAGAGACTTTTAGATTTATCTCGAAAATACTTGTATAACAATGAATGTAACAGTAAGACGCTGCTGTTTCAGAGAACAAGTGGATGGGTATATCTTACAAAAAAATACAGCACTAGATGAGGGATATTTTAGATGCGTCTTGCTGACTATGGCGAATGCAATTTTTATTGGCACTAGATGAGCGAAAATGAATGTTCCTAAGTACGTCTCAGAAAATACAGTTCTGTCAATTTTACAAGGAAACAAACTGACTTATGAAGTAATACCAGGATCAAAAAGTATGAAGATACACTAAAATGAATACGTAAATAAAACCCCTTGAATAAAAACAGCATAATAATAGTGACTTCTAATATACTTTCTTTTAAGCTCTTATAATATATAGTGTCAAGCTAAGACAATCCGAGCAAAAATAATATTCAATGCAGCTATTTCTATCATCAAGATTACGGTCTATATTTATGAACTAAAGAAAAGATTATGTAGTTAAAGACTGCCTCTGTATAAGAAAATAAAGAAGCCTAGTTCCCTACAGAACACCGATTTCAACTTCTGAGTGACAAAACTGACTCAAATGCAAACTACTCTTCATATAAAATAGCATTCTACACACAATAATAATTATTATGAAAAATCTAACTACATCTTATGAGCTAGCATTACCTAGCTTTTCATCTCAGTACAAAAATTGCGAATTTTTCGAGAAAAGTTGACTTATGATGCGTACTTCACACATTCACATCTAAGTTTGAAAAACCTCATTAAGTAAGCCTTAATTTATCAAAGCACTTATTAAAAACAAATAAAACAAAATATTAAGAGATATATCGAGAAGTTATTCGCTATTTTTAAGTCACACATCAACCATGTCGAGCTAAAGACTAAAAATAGTACTCAAGTTAGCCTTTGAATGCTTTATTTATCATGCAGCGATACCTGATAAAAAATATCAATTCGGAAAAATTCATGTCTGGCGGAATAGTGAAACTTTCAGGTGCACTTTTCGTTTTGATTACCAGGTAAACCTGTTTTTTTGTCTCCACATCGTGTAATTCGTTGGTTGGTTTTATTTTTGGATGTAAATGCTTTTTATGTTCTTTGTGTATACATACAATTCTATCAACTGCCCAGTTGGAGGACGCACATGAGGCGAGCACAAAGAAATCAAATTGGTTTATACTAGTTCGTAAAAACGATATTGGATATTGGATGCAACGTTCATAAATGCCACGGTGTGACTTAAAATCTGCGTAGGATTGCGAGTAACAGTCAAAACCCCCTCACAATGAGGTGGCAGGAGAACAGTTTTTCAATGTGAAGTATCTTCAAATAAGTAATTAAGTGTGCCATGTGAATTTATGATAACACATAAACTTGATATTTTATGGCGTCAGATAAGCGTAATACTTCAATAACATTAGGCCTAATATACGATGAGAGACTAGTAAGAGTTTAAAAAGAATGATATTGAATATATTTAATAAATATTTTAAAAATTTATTTACAGGATTTCAACCCACCTCCAATGGAAATACCCGCAATAGCCGCTGCTGATAGGTTTGTTCCTCCATTATCGCTCATATACTGTTTATAAGCAGAAACGTATTCGTTTCTAGGTAGAAGTTTAACAACATTTTCATTCATCCTGTATTATATGCCAACTCATATCACGCTCTGTTTGAGGTAGAGATGTAACCTTGAAACGTGGGGAATTCAAACAAAATATATTGTTCTCATGTGCAGCTATGAAATTGTATTTCGTAAGCTTCAAATTGTATCATTAACTCATAACTCTGTGCATTATTTTATTTTCAGCGTAAAGACGAGGCCACGAAGAGTAGGGATATGGCGTTATTTATTTTATTCCGATTCAGATTCAGATTCAGTTGATAAGGATAGAAGGCTCTTGTGTCCTGTGTTAATCCTTGCAAAATATATCTCTGCAGAGATCTAACTTCTCTTTGAAAGCGTTCACCGATGGAGCTGTTACTACTGAATCAGGTAAGGAGTTCCAGTCGTTGACCACTCTATGAGAGAATCTAAATTCTGCATGTATTTTAATCGTCCTCGGTTTGAGCACCTTTTTGCGGTGACCCCGTAAATGTATCCTAGAAGGAGAGAAAAGTTTAGAAAGGTCAGTTCCTAAATCACCCTTAAGTATACGGTAAGCCAAAATTAGGTCGCCTCTTTTCCTTCGGTATGATAACGGAAAGAGATTTAGATGCTCCATCCTCTTATCATAAGGAAGGTGTGATATACCACTAACTAGTTTCGTTCCTACTCTCTGTACTCTTTCCAGGATATTCCACGCATATGTACAATGAAATTGGATGTAGGTTGCCTTACTGTTATCACTACACAATAATTTTCAAATAAATTGATTTTGTAGAGTACTAAGTTATTCATAGGAAATTTTTATTTCATGGTTTCTCAAGTACGAAATATGCAAGAGACCATAGAATAGTGACAGATTAAGCTCACCAAAATAATTGCATTTCGACTACCCTCCCTATAAATTTTACATATCAAACGATTTTATTCTACCACCCTTTCGCCGTGTTATTCGAGTTTTGGAAGGATATAAACTCACACTGGTATTATCACGCAACTGTATACATCTAGTTTTGGAAGAATTAAAATATTCCAACAGAGATTCCTATTGCCCATTTTGTCTCGTATAGATTTACTTTGTGAAAGGAAGTTGTTGATTACCATGAAATACAAGAAGTACAAACATCAGGTGGAAACTCAGTTTCATGAAGAAGAAGGAGGTATCATGAAGTGTAGTAAACCGTTTTTATTTGCAATCCAGGTAATATTAAACATTAGTACATCAGACGATATGTGATAACGGTGACGAATCGCCAAGTTGCTGAAATGCGACAGCAGTCAACAGAATGTTAAGAATACGCTTAATATAGTGATTGTTTGAATAGCTTCAAGCATCATGACCAATCAGAATCACAATTCAATATTTTTTCGAAAGTCCTAGGGACTATAAATGTGTCGAACAATTTAGGCGTCATCATACGGTTATGAAAAGGAAACGACGTAGACTGTTTTATTGCAGGATGTAAAAATCCAAGCGATTATTTCCAAACACCCGAAACTATTCTTCGGAACTAGGTTTAACTCTACTCAGTCAAGTCTTCGGGCACTTTACAACGTTCAGTGTTATACCATGGGTTTATTCTCAACGATATCAAACATTCTAATGCTAACTTACCCTTGATTGTACTAGGCAAAATTGAAATACTATTGAGAAATGTGAAGTCGCTGCATGAACATATAATTAGTTCAGTAGAAAATTTTGAAGGTTTACATGGTGTTTATTCCAGAGAACGTTAAAATCCTCTATGTGCTTGGGATGTGTTGGACCTATGGAAACTTAAGCACCTCTACCGGATGTGAAGTGGGATGGAATCTGGGAAAGACCAGTAGCAAGATAGCCTAAAATCTTAAGCAAAATACGCGGGAAGCATGGTTCTTTTAGAAGCTAATAGAGACAATAAAACAGATGAAAAGGGAAATGAGATTGATATACTCCCTATTGAACGGGATTATTCTCTTCATAGACTCCACGTAGTCGAAAAAGAATAAAACACTTTACTGTTTCCCAGCTCAGTTAATTTTTGGGATATATGTGTTTGCAGCAGAATGCGAACATTCGTAATGAAGGCAGCCCGAGAGAAACAATTTTTAGTCTGATAGCTGAGACAGTACAAACACCTGAGTACCACAATGGCTTAGTGAGTATGAATTTTCAAGATGTAAAAGAAGGGTGATTATCAGCAATGGGCAGACACTTTTAGTCTGCTCAAATCACTTTCAATACGGTCATACAAGAAACACACCAAGGTAATAAGTCCATAACGTTGTTTACATAACGCCAAAGCTTATTGAGAATCATAATCATATCATGACAGCATTACCGATTTCTTATCAAAAGATTTATTGAGAAGCCATGTGCGGTTGACTTTCCAGCCCAGTATATTGGCGTGGATTTAGTTTGTTATTCCCTGAACAGCTATCTCCACCCTTCTCTCCTTTCAGGCCTTATCTCAAGCATATGATTAATCATTCAAACTAGCTGACAAGTTTTCTGTGTCATCGGCTTACACCGCATTCGTCCATATATATTCTACCTGTTAAGAGCAGGTAGCATGTTTCAGTGTCGGTAACCTAGAGGTAGCATCAAATACCCTCTTCTATTCCTCTAGTTTGGTCCAAGATGAAGACTTTGTCGGCAAACCGTTTCAGCATGCATTCAGACTGAGTCCCAAAGGCTCTAAATATATCTCACATCCCGGCGATGTTTTTCAAGAAGTTGGTTTCTACTCACCCTATAAATAACAGTAATTTATAATACAGCCCAACAGAAAATTGTGGATTATTCAGCAAAGTACTTTCGGACCATGACCTTAAATTTGCGAAGCTTTCTGTGATATGAACTATACTTTATCAATGGAACAAGAATGTGCTTCTGTAGGATATCATAGTTCGTCAAATCAACTGAACCTCAGCCGCTTCACCTTAGACGATCGATTTGTTATTATTTGAGGGATGAAATACATCGTGGACAACTGGATTTTCAAGGGACAAGAGCCTAATGACTACTTTACATTGTGATTGTGTATATATACACTCTCCATATTATCGTTAATAAATACACCTTTGGGCAGACGAAAGTGTTATATTCTGTCTTCACTAGCTGGGGCAGTATTGGGAACAGTCTGACCACCAGGTTAGGTGTGCCAGACTAGAGAATCAGCAGGTAGTGCCACGAAAGCTCATGTCTTGCAGGACAGATGTCCGTTCAGAAATGATCGAAGTGTTATTTGCTGTTGAAGCCACAGGGAAGTGAGCTTGAAGTTCTCAAAGAAGCCCAACTAAATGGTTTCTTAGACTTGTGCACTAACACTGATTTCACATTTTTGAGCTAATAGAAGTCTTTAGTACTGCAGTGGTGTCTGTATGGGTGAAATATCACAGTACATATATAAATATGATGACAAAGATACCATTATATTATAATAGTTGAAATCCATTTTTTTACCTACAGGAATCCGTTTCTTTAGGTGATTCAGATTATTTGACTACCACGACTAAGGCCAGAAAGAAGGGTCTGTTCAACACGACAGTCTGTGAAATTACATGCATGACTGACAGACTGCACTCAGCCTAACCAGCAACCTGGAGTAGTAGAGACCGTCACCTAGCACTAAGCACTGATGTATCCATAATCTACCCGCTATATGAAATTCTTTACCAAAAAAGTGCAGGGAGATTCAGTTTCAGCGATGGAAGTGTTTAACGTTCACTAGATATTTATATTGTATTTTCAGAGTTTGGCATATCCCAAACAGATAACCATTACTTCCTATGAATCATTTCCGCCCAGTGGCAAGATTCGTATTGTTATTACACCACTAACGAACTACGCAGAAGTTTACCGAAGACCAGGAACTTTTACCTCACAATCAAGAAGCGAGCGCAAAGAAATCAAATTAGTTTATACTGGCTCGTATAAACGATATTGGAAATATTTTTCAGATGAGAACAAACAAAGCAAGTGTACAGATACTAAATCTCTTGACTTATCTATTGTTTCTTTGCTCAGTACTCAGTGACAACCCTTCACTTATCTGTATTTGTAGAGATAAAGTGAAAGCTGATAAAGGACATTAATTGAATCTAAAGCGTTTGTTTAAACGCGTCGGTGAAAATTGTTTGCTATGTAACCAAGCTACAGGAAGTTAAACTTTCACCTCTTTGCATAATATTGCATATAATATAGACTGTTTTTATAGTTGAGAAGAAACCGTCAAATACACCTATATTTTTGATCAAACGTATTACTGAAACAGATTTTGAAGTGAGTACAGGCTGAAAATCATGATGTTTGTACTAATCATTTTGTTTCGGTTGTTAAATATCTTCAGGATTGTCAGTAAGATACTGTTTTTCACTTGTCAGAATAATCTATTTGATAAAACAATAAAGAATGACACGTTTTAGGCGCTGGATATTTTGAAAATCCGATTTAAATGTAAATAACCTACAACATTAGTCCGGTCTTCAAAACCGGATCTAGAAACTTAGTTCAGAACTATCGTCCTGTTAGTTTGACCAGTATTGTTGTTAAACTACTAGAAAGAATAATTCGTGATGCTATCATTCAGTTCATTGAAGGGAACAAACTTTTCGCTGTGGAACAGCATGGTTTTAGAGCAGGTCATTCTTGCTTGACCAACCTTCCTTTGGCCAGAGAAAGTTGGGCAAGCTCAGCTGATGCTAATATACCGGTGGATGCCATATTCATCCACCTTAGCAAGGCGTTTGACAGGGTTTCCCATTCAGGTCTTCTAGTAAAGTTAGGTAGTATGGGAATCAATAAAGTGGTTGCCGACTGGATTCAAGACTTTCTAAAGCACAGAAGACAAAGAGTACGAGTTAACGGGGTTTTATCGACATGGGAATCGGTTAAGATTGACGTTCCTCAGGGTACAATTCTAGGCCCACTTCTTTTCCTGATTTATGTTAATGAGATTCCATCGGTAGTTAAGTCATCCTGCTTACTGTTTGCTGATGACATCAAGATATGGAGGGCTTTACACGATGACAGCGATCAACTTGCTTTGCAGGAAGATTTAAACTTGTTAAGTGATTGGTGTAAGCACTGGGCCTTGGAGATTAACTTAAGCAAGAGTGTAGTTATGCATGTATCTCATAGTCACGTGCACAATTACTCAATGAATGGCATTACTCTCCCAGTGGTCACTGAGTACAAGGACTTGGGAGTGGTTGTGCAGCATGACTTGAAAACAGCAACAAACTGTAGAGCTGCAGCCACTAAGGGTTTTCGAATATTATGGGCCATACGCAAAGCTTTTGCGAATTTTGACGCTGAAATATTTCGTATATTATATCCGACTTATATCAGACCTCATTTAGAATATGGGATCCAGGCAGCGAGCCCGTGTTTCAAATACGAAATAGACTTATTAGAAAGGGTGCAAACAGTAGGAACTAAGCTAATAAAAGGTTTCTCAAACCTCTCATATGAAGAGAGGTTAAGTCTACTGGGTTTATTTCCACAGTCATACAGACGACTTAGGGGTGACCTAATACTAGCATACCGTATCCTAAGAAATGATTTTGGAGCAAATTTATCTAATTTATTTCTTCCTTCTAGCACCAACCAATTGCGAGGACATCACCTCAAGGTTCAAAAACCACGGTCGAATCGTCTGCGTTTGGAGATCCGTTTTTCTCATCGGATTGTGAACCATTGGAACTCCCTACCGGAACACGTCATATCAGCGCCATCCGTTGATTCATTCAAGGCGAGATTGGACCTCCTGTGTGTAACAAATCGAAAGGATTACCACAGGCATATAGCCTACTATCCTAAATAAATTGTAAACTGTAAACATGGCGGCAACTGCTTTTTGCTCAAAATACTGTTCAGACTGCTTTTCTAACAATAATTCGCAAGCAATCGTCCAAAATTATATAGCTTTTGAAATACAAGCTCTCAGTTGCCTGTGTGCTGGCCCTTTTTAAGGTTTTAGGGGATAGAAAGCTTGGAGCCTACATAAATCCTTTTCTAGCAAATTTCTGTGGTTGTCCAAACCCCTTTTGAATGAATCAGTTGAGTTTGCAGACACTAATTCTTCTAGGAGTCGGTTCCAAGAGTTTATGACTCAGTGTGAGAACCAGTACTCAACAGCAATATGATTTCTTCTTTCCTTTGAACTCTCCTGCTATGTTTTCTAAGGTTTTCCGACCTGGTGGGAAGGAAAAGAGAGAATAGGCCAGGTCCGTAGTCATTATTTAAAATTTTTAACATTGTGATTAAATCTCCTCTCTGCCTACGGTATGGCAGGGAGATGAGATTTAAACTGCTGAGTCTTTCGTCGTATGATAAATTAGTCATGCCTTTCTTTGAACCCTTTCTAGAATATATGAGTCCCCTTGTAGACAAGGACTGGCTGTCTGGATACAATATTCTAGTCTTGACCTCATCAGGGATGTATATAAGAAGGAGAACATATCTCTGGTGATTCTAGTAAAGGCTCTGCGAATTGCCCTTAAGGACCTGAAACTACGTGCAGCCACCGTGCGACAGTGTGCTGTAGTTTGTAAGTCGTGACTAACTGTGACACCTAAATTCAAATGAGTCTGAATTGACGGGAGTGTTGTTCTCTGGTGATTGAGAGTCCAATGCGTATGGTTGCACATTTCGGTATATTGAACGGGATCATCAATTCTGTGGACCACTCTAGCAACTTGTTGATGTCTTCTTGCAACGTGAGCGTATCACTGTTGCCCTTCATCTCCCCCCAAATTTTTAAGCCATCCGCATATAGGACCATTGGGGAATCCGCGAGAACAGACGACTCCTTGATATACAAAATAAATAGGAGAGGTCCGAGTACCGTGCCTTGTGGCACTCCGCTACGCACTGCTGTTCAGGAGGAGAGGGCAGTTTTGTAAGCTGTCTTTGATACCAAGACTTTCCAACTTCATGAGTAGTCTCTTGTGAGGAACTTTATCGAAGGGTTTGTTGAAGTCAATGAAGACGACGTCAACAGGTCTTCTGTTGTCTCTTGATTTGACCCAGCTTTCTCTTGCAGTGAGGAGATTTGACAGGCATGAGAGGCTTCTTCGGAAGCCGTGATGTGCTCTGGATAACAAGCTGCTGTTTTCCAGATATGCCATGATGCTTTTTTTGATGATTCTTTCCAGTGTCTTGATTAAAGTGCTGGTGAGACTGACAGGTCTGTAATTTGAAGGGCTTTGTCTTGATCCTCATTTGTGGATGGGGGTTACTATGGCGTCTTTCCAGTCACGCGGTAACACTCCATTTTGGAGAGATAGCTTGAAAATGGTGGTCAGTGGGCCGGCTATGTGAACTGATAGCTCCTTGAGAAGCCTTGGATGAAGATTATCAGGACCTATTGATTTCCCTGCATCTAGTTTCATTAGGCAGTTGAGCACAATGTCTTGGTCGATGTCAACGGAATCTATCCCGTATTCCTCTGATGCAGCCAGAGCTGATCCTACAGGGAGTGATGACTCCTGTGTGAAGACTTGGGAGAAGTAGTCTGTCATTGCTTCTGCTTTTTCTTGATCTTCTTCGATTGTGTCATAGTCAATAGTCAGGTTTGTGACACCATTAGATGTTTTATTCCTGAAGTTCATGTACGAGAACATTTTCTTAGGTTGTGCCTTTGCATTTTGAGCCAGATGTGCTTCGAACTTCATCCTTGATTGGCTTATTTCTGCAATAGCTTTATTCCTAGCAGTGCTATATAATTTCCTGGTCTCGGGAGTCGCAAGTTTGGCAAATAGGTTCCAACATTTGTGTTTACGTCTGAGTAAATTGCGAATCACTCGCTTAATCCAAATGGGGCAATGTTTCTGACTCTTTGGGACAGACCAAGGGAGGAAAGGCTCAGTTACTTAGGAGTAAAGTTGTTTAAGTTGGTTCCATGCGGCTTCTACTTGGGACTCTGGGTTTATGTACCAGCTTAATGAGTTGGCTGCTGAGATGATCGCATTTATGTCAGCTTTCCAAATGTTTGGTCGAGGTGGGGTTTCGGCCCTTGTTGCTGTTGCTGTGACCTTGAAAGTGAGCACAGCATGATCACTCCTTCCTAAAGGATGAAGATGTTGTACGAGATCCACATCCTCAGCGTGGGAGAACACTATGTCCAGAGTTGCGGAGGAGTGCTGTGAGTCATAGCGCGTGGGCTTAATGACATGTTGGACTAGGGCTAGCGAAGTGCTAGACTCTAGCAGTTTACGATCAAAGGAGTTGACCGAAGATGGCGTTGTGAGGTTCATCCAGTCAACTAGTGGGGCGTCGAAGTTGCCGACTATGAGACTTCGACATATCGAAATCCAGGAGCTTAGCTTCTCTATTAAGAAGTCATCTGAATCTGAATCTTTTTGAAATATACAATAAACGAACTTAAATAAGAAGACCCAAGTATATCTGAGAAAATATGTCCACTGGTAATGACATATCATGGATTGGCAGATCACGGAATTCCAGTTCCTGATCCACAGACTGAACTTAAGATCCTAATCCCGTTATGCAAATATCCTCTTCTATCTTTCATGCATACTAACGGAGGTTATAGTATCAGAAAGAAACAGTTGCTCGATACCCTATTATTTTCAGTGTTTCTCTTAGGTAATGCTGGTTTGCAACAATACGAGACTTTGATTTGACAAAGTCGTCACAAGCTAAACTATAGTTACACCCTAAGAAGCAACCCAGTTAGATAACAACTAGAATTTCCAGAATCACCGAGCTAGGTAATATACCTTATACCTCGCCATATGTTATAAGTATTCCATTCTTTTAGAATGTGCCTGTTTACTTAATTACTGAATCATGCTTTGACTCTTATTTACAACTTGAAAGCGTGTAAACTTATTCGTAACTCTTAAGCTAAGTTATCACATACACGGATCTCTTTAATACGACCTTAGACAATGCCACAACCAAAAAATACAACCATATTGCCTGAAAAATATATCAGCATACAGGTATTATCTCTCAACTGTAAATGAATAAAGGCAGAAATTCGACAGCAGAAAAGAACGACGTCCTGTCTAGAAGGCTTGTAAACGCCTGTAACATGTGGGCCCAATATTCAACATGCGATCTTCAGCTTTTGGTTTTATAGGAGGTGTGAGATTTAATTCTCCAGCAAAGTGATCCATCAAACAACTAGATCAATATGTTGAATAATTCAAATAGAAAGAACAAACAGTTTGATGAGTCTGACTTTGCTGGCGAATTCATTATTTTTGCAGAGAAGGTCCCATGAGACGAGAAAATTTAACAACTGTTAAAAGGAAACATGGTGACATTTGTTTTATTTTTCATAAATTTCACACTCTTATTTCAAACATTAATAGAGCTAACCCAGCCTATAGAAACGGATGACTAACTTAAAAGTTTAGTTCACATAGTGTATTGATGAAATCCAGTTTAGGGGAATCCCTGAAAGCTTTCCATCTTTCGTTTTTTCCTCATTCAAGCAAGTGTAGCCAGTTTTTGAAATACTGTAAAAACATGTAGTCAGTATGTATTAAGTTTCTTAAATTCACAAAACCCTCAGTTAGATTCAAGAATCCTTTACTGTATAGAGCTTAGATGAGTGATATGGAAATCCTCCATTCAACAAAGTAATACAATCACTTATCTAGATTCCTTGAAGAAAGTAGATTGAAGATACATAGAAAATCAATTAAAGCACTGGAGCGCCTTTGTACTACTGAAAATAAGACCTGAATGGAGAAAATTAATTTATTTTGCAAGACATCCTCTGATAACTGCACAACAGTGATTCAATGAATTCGTTCAATGGAAATCAGAATCCATCGCTTTTTTGTTTAGATATTAAACACGCCGAAATTGATATGCCTAGAAAAAATAAAGACAATGTTGAAGTTTTATAAATTTCGTGATGTAATATTTCTGCTGATGTATATATATATTCATGATGCTGAAGAAGACATCATTTGAGAGGCTACATTAACCCCTTAAGTGTTCCTCTTTCTTCCCATAAACCATCTACTTTCTACAGATGCTCTCTGTCTCTATCTAACTTTCACACAACTACTAAACCACTGAAGAATAGACGAATCCTTTATTCTGGTAGAGTTAAACATCAAAGCTTAATAAGACAGAGTTTATATTTCAAACTATTTCAGTCTAAACTGATCAAATTTGTATGCGTAGACACCGTTTATGAGACTAGGAATTATTCAATCTTCTCTGGGATTTGGTGCTTGATTTTATCATTAGGCTTAATGATACCCTTAGCAATACGTTAACTATGAAGTTTGTTGTGAAACAGAAATATCTTTTGACAGATTTTAGTATCAGCCAACCAGAAATCGTATCCAGACTTCAGTACTTTTACACCATCTTGATTTCACTGAATTTTATCTCCTTGAATTCCATGTAGAATATAGGACCTGAGTAACACATCTCCATTTTAATCAGTTCTCTACAGTCATTTTTAGCTGCCTCCACGACTGACCATAAGCTTTAATTTTTATCCTTACATGATACGCTACACGTCACCCTCGGACTAATGCCCAACTCGTTACTGCCCTTTCAGAATTCACTGGACGGCCTGGTGCATGACATCACTCAGAAGTCACCTTGTTGCAAGTCAAATGCATCGCCATTCCCCCTGCATATTTGTTGGGTAATAGTTTCTTGGTAAGTTTGGTGATACAGTTACCTGTTGACTGTTTATCCTGTGTTGCTAAAGTGGGCAGTTGTTAGTGAAATTCTTCAGTAAGCAGTTGAAAATGCTTTTAGTGACCTGCTTGTTAAGTCTCTAGGCCGATGTAATTTTTAGGGCTTATATTATTCATTGAATTCTGTTGTTACAGCTTTCATTTTAAGTAATCAGTACCCAAGTTTAGCATTTTCAGTCTACAACGTATCCAGCTAGGAGGGAAGCAATATAACTGGCAATTAATTCTGTCTATTGATAAAATTCACTTGTAACTCTATCTTAACCCACTATCAATCAGCATTGGATTCTGAACCCTACCGTTGAATTTTATATGGATTACAGCTACTGCCTGTGAATTACTACGTATACTACATTTAATTTATTAATTATGATTCAGCTATAATATTTTTGTCACTGATTTCTATTATTGACAGATAGTCGATGAAGTCCAATTGCCTTTATTATCTTACACATTCTTTAGCGTTACACACTGTTTTTCAAAGAAACCATTTATTGTTGTTATAACGTGTTCATTACTCAATTATAACTTGCCCGCCTCCTATTCTTGTTTAAATAGGTGAAGTATATAAACAAAACAGAAATTAAACCGTCATTATAATATTAACCATGAAGAGTGGAAGTGGTAGAGCTACACCAGCTGACGATACTACACATTCTAAAAGTAATCGTGATCGTTATAGAAGTCCAAGTGGATATAAACGAGTATCATCCCATGATCGATTACAAGATAAAAGTTTTGATGAACCATCTGGTGTTATCTCATCAACTGTATCTGTTAAAGATGACCATCAGAGTACATTGAATATATTTACAGAAAATAAACTTTTACCTGATTGTTTTCCAATATTTTTATCAAAACCAACACAACAAATATTTAATATTGTAACAGATGAACAAATTACAAAACAATCACCAACAATTTTAATTAGTAAATTAGATATTTTAAAAGATTTACAATTACGTGCAGCTGTATCTGATTTCAGTGTACAAAAAGCCGCTATTCAAAATTATCCCGGTACTGATATTTTACTCATTTATGATGCTGATTATCAATTTGGTCAAAATTTTATTATTGTTCTATCTGAAGACAGTAAAACGCTTATATTGAATCCAGTGAAACAAACATTAAATGTTCAAGTAGAAGAGGCTGATGTAGAAGACGAAGAAGTCAATGAAGAAGATGAAATGGAAGAAGCTAGTGATTCAGTTGTATTATTTAAATCAAAATCAAAAACCGGTTGGATTGATCTTGGTTCAGAAAAAGAACTCGCCGAAATGAATGCTATAGAAACACGTCCAAAAGTTTATACTATATTTCAACGACCACGTCGTGAATTTGGCAGCCCATTGAATCTACAGGATGAAAATGCTACACAGAAAGGTGCTTCTGAACGTATCAGCCTGCATGAAGATAAAACATTCAATGTGCCTATATTAGAATTAGATAAATCCGTAACCAATGCAGAGACTACATGTGATAAAGGCACTAATACAGATTGGAAATATCCACGAAATGCATTCACTCAGTATACACCAAGAATATTTACAGGAGATGAATTACAAGCCTTTTATACAACACATAATACTGCCTTATGTAATATATCGAAATTATATTCAATATTTGAACAAGGTTTATTACAAAATGCAATGTATAACTTCTTATCAAATGATTATGAGAATCTGGCATACGGTGATGAAACATACGATACAAAAGCAGATAGTACATTTAAAGAATTCTTATCTTTTACTGATTTAAAATATAGTAAAGATAAAGCGATAACTATGATCCAATGGCATCCAACTATAAAGGGTATTGTGGCTACATCAGTTGGTGAACGGCTGATCTATGATCAACGTGTTGACCAGTCATCACGTATCCTACTACAACCAACACATATTATTCTATGGAGTTTTAGTGATCCTTTAAAGCCTCAGCTATTACTCAATGCACCTGATGATATAATCTGTTTCCAGTTTAATCCAACCAATCCAAATTATATAGCTGGTGGTTGTGTCAATGGACAAGTTGTTCTCTGGGATATTGAAAAGCATGTTGATGATTTAATCAATGTTAAAATGAAGTTGAAAGGTAAAAATAAAATGCCATTGTTTGTATTCGATGAAAATGAATTGAATAGAGTGCCTACATCATTTTACTCAGCGTTAAGTAATATTGAATCATCGCATAGTAGCTCGCCTATAATGGATATAAAATGGATACCAGATCATTTAGAAATTAATCGATTAGGTTATTGTTTTGAAAATTCAGTACAAAAATGTATACAATTGATGACATGTGGTTTAAATGGTGAAATTTTATTATGGGATATAAGACCGGATAAATCTCCATTGGCTATTGATAAAACAAGTGATATGATTAGACCAGCTATGAATGTTCCAGTGACATTTTCACCATTAGATATGAAATGGAAACCGTTATTAAGAATTCATTTATTTAAAACTGATCCAGTTAGTGTTTATGCACCAATTAAATTTTCTATTCGAGTAAGTTGTTGAATTATTTCTTTTGTTTGTTTCTGATTTGATTTGATTTAAGAAGACAATATTATCATTATTCTCTTGGGTTCCGAGTGGAATATTAGGCTGCAACAGTACATCTCCATTTCGATTGGGCAATAGTAACTAGTGCGATGTGTCTAGTCCTTTCTTCGGTGCAGACTGAATTCTATCAGTCAGGTTTGCCATGTGGCCATCATTCTAGATAGCTCGCCATTATGGTGCACATTGATTTGATGACATTAGATGGTTGAAGGCAATCGTCAGGAAGCCTTGCTTGACCTAGGTTTCGTGCTGGCTTGCACTCGTCAGCAAAGCGTATCTACAACCTTGAAGGAAGTCATATTCCTTCTGAGATTCGAACCCGCGTCACCCAGTGCTGCAGTCAGAAACGTTATCACTGAGCCATTCGGACTGGTGATTGACCTCCTATAGGACTGTAGTGGATACTTTGATTGGGCACTAGTAACTAGTGTGATGTATCTAGTCCTTTCTTCGGTGCAGACTGAATCAATCAATCGTTAGCCCGAATAGCTGCCAACTAGCACGAAACCTAGGTCAAGCAAGGCTTCCTGCCGATTGTCTCCAACCACCTAATAACATCTCCATTTCATTTCTGTTCTCTACAGTCCTCTTTGACTAGCTCTACGACTGCCCATACGCTCTCATCTCCTCCTCACACGAACTGTCTCATGTAACCCTTAGATGCTCGACTGACCGTTTCCCCGTTCGGGTTCCACTAAAGCAATAGCCTGATACACAATGTCACTCAACGGTTTCCTCCATTTTCTTCTGCGTAACCCATACTTTATAGTCTTTTAATCTTTCTTGAAAAAATCTAGAAGAACATACTGAGAAGGATAAAATGGCGTCATTACATTTCATTGGTTCTTGTCAACCGCATAAACCTATAAGCAATTTATTGATATAAGAATAGAATTTGTTCACTGTGGTAGAGTATAATACCATTGTGGATGAAATTTATTTTAATAAAGTCTCACAGTGTTACACAATAATATTTACTGATATTCTGCATATTAAATCCTCTGTAGATTTCTTAATCTTATTCATTATTGTATCTACAGGCTTCTTGTTTTCCTCATATGAACCCGTTGCAATGCGTTCATTGACTTTCTTGATATAATCAGATTTATCCATAACTATCACCGCGTTTCCCTTATCAGTTTTTGCGATGACAATGTTGTTATCCTATTTTAGACCAATCAGAGCTAGTCTTTCTGATTTTGTTAAGTTTGACTATACTTTCTTTTGCTTTTCCAGTGTTAATGCACATTGTGCTCAAATCTCTTCTGCTATCGTCTTATCTGTTGAACTTAATGCTACTGTGATGTTAGGAATGACATCCTCTGGTTTTTGGTTCACTAACTGTTACGTCCTTTACCTAACCAAGCTAGTAATAAGACTGGTAAAGAGAGAAGGTTGAGCATGAGGCTAGCAACCCCATCCAGTAAAAATAAATACCACTGCTACCGAAAATTCAAGCCTCTCGCTTGAAGCCGTATATCCCACTGGGAATGTAAAGGAATAAAAAAAATGATAAATATACTTTACGTTATTTTATTTTGTTACTTTTGTTATTTTACTATTATATTTTGTTTTGACAGTGCGATTTCGCCTCCCCTTAATTTTGTATTTATCTATATTCCTTACCGGACCGTGTTTTAAATCTCTACTCAACTAAAGTTTTTACCCCCCCCCCTGTTATATTTGTTGGTTTTACAATTCTGTTCAATTTCTAACATTCGTCCGTAGTTCTAGAATATTCCCCAATAATATCTACACATACATCACTGACTGTAGCACTTGGTGACCCGAGTTCGAATATCAGAAAGAATATGAATTCCTTCAAGATTGCAAATATGCCTTGCTGAAGAGTGCTAATAGGCATGAAACATAGATCCATGGCTTCCTGAAGATTGCCTCCAACTATCAAATAACATACTATCCTCTCCATTAGGCTACTTAGTCACGTGATATGAGTATACTTCACCTTTGTCATCCATAACTAAAGTACTTAAGTATGCTGTAAATTTCTATTAAACTGTTTATGAGTATATATAACTGGCAAAAGCCAACGAAATACAATGATGTCAGTTAATCCTGCTCAATGTGTTCCTCTTGCTTTGATCATGTTTATCAAGGGAAATAATTGATAACTGAAATTTAATCTTCCTTTCAAATTAAGCCCATTTTGAAAATGTGTGGTTGTCAAATTTATTTGATTTCAACGTAGTTGTAGTGATGAACCAATATCAGTTAGAAGGTTACTGGGGACAAGGGAGTAATGAACAGATGTGTCATTTCTAATTTAGGACTCTTTATCATTTGACATTCAAGAACTCATTGGGGATAAGATCTATCACCTTTAGATTACCAGGGTAGAACGCTGACTATGCGAAATATAAAAATATCGATAAAATGTAGTCAAGAGGAAGTAACATATGTTGAAGATGACGCATAAATATCTGTCTGTATACGTTTGAAAGCAGTTTTTTAAATTGTTCGAATACTTAAAATAAATAGCTTCCAGCTTCTTATTCGAAGTTAACTAGGTACATCTATATCTTATCGTTACCTTCTTGATTAAGATTCTAGATGATTATGCAGACTGATTTCGTTTTCTTAGATTCAGTCTTGAGAAGCTTAGACTTTCAACAACCTTCAGTTACATCATTTGGTTGGTGATGGTTAATAGTGGGATTCAGAGCGAAATTTTCGTCCCATTTATGACTCACTGGCTGGATTTACCTGAACCTTCAGTGAGTAATGGTGTTATCATGGAGGCTGGAACCCATCTACAAATGTTTCAAACGCCAAAGCGGAATCCACAAGGCCAGTGAGTCACATTATCTATCTTTTGAGCAAAGGGGGTTGTCGGAACATCCGTTCTAGGAACCGACATGTCAACAGAGACTGAGAACTTCTGTTTTAAGAAAATCATTTAGCAGGAAGCTCAACAGTGAATCGTCACTTAATTATCCAACTTATTATTTTGCTTTGATTCTTGAGTTACATTTACTTTTCACTACAGTACATGATGCATTTAACAAATACAACTGTAATCATAAACATTCGATAAATTTATAATGCATTTCAGAACACTAAACACTAGGTTATGTAAACATTGTCAACTTCGCTAATCGACTTGACAAAAAACATGATTTAGTGTTCATAAATGATAATGGAATATGTGAACCATACAAAAGTGCTCCATGCTGAACTCTGATCATTTTATTTTTCGAATACTCCCTGAAATATATGGGAAGTTATGCACAAATGTCTTCTCTCACCTTCCTGAGAAAACTCAACAGAGATATTACTCACAGAACAATATCCATAAACTTAGATGGATGTTGAAGGACACTAACTTGGACCTATTTACTGATTATAAACTAGATGATACAATCAATAACATAACTGATTATCTTAAATTCTGCCTTGACATCTGTTGCTGCAAAAAGCACTACTCAAAAGATTTGATCGTTTCTCTTCTCATTTCAAAAAGCTACATAGAGAAAAAGAATGGTTATACGAGACTAAAGATAAATCTGGTCTGAAAAGGATTAACACTTTCATCAAATCTGGAATTCAAAGTCTAAATATTAAGTCGGTTCCAGTTTGAAAAACAACATACTCTTTGGTGAAATCAAAGGTTGACAGATACCCTTCCCATGTTAACTCTAGTTGTGCATACAAATTTGCATGTATCTGTGGGAACAGTTACATTGGGAGAACAGAAAGAAGGGCATATCTCAGATTCTGTGAACATGTACTAAAAAGTTTACGTCTCAAGGGAAAAAATGCTTTGAACAGTGCTATTGCCAGGCATCTTCTTGATACGGGTGGGCATCGTAAATTCCTTTAAAATTATCAATAGACAAAAGAGCTCAATTCACTGCAAGTTTGCCGAAGCAATCTCTGTCAAACGCCTGTGTTCAGAAAGAAGCAGTTACTAGTCTTTCCTTACCCTAGTAACTGGATGTCTTTATTCTCTCTTTCATTTAATTACGCAATCTCTGGTCTTTATTGAGTAAATCTTTTACCATTGTATGCATACATTTGATTTTTTTTGTTTAAATTTGAACTCGTTGTCAACTGACATCATGTGAAAATTGCATGTTAAAATTTAAACAAAGCTAAATCAAATGTCTGTGCAGAATAATGTGGGGCCACCATTTATTTTGTCGTCGGATCCTCTTCAGCTATTTACAACCTAAAAGTTGATTGTGTAAATGTACATAGAATTTTGTCATAATGGCAAGAATCCAACATGATTTTTGCTAACAGAGACACAAGTTAATAAATCATGTTCAGAAGTTCGACTTATATGACTTACAAAGAGGGCCAAATTTAAAACGAAACACAAACATGCAAAATTAATGGTCGGATTGAGTTGCACAATCAAGACAAGAGAAGAGGCGTTGATGATGAGTAATAATGTAGTGAGTTTAACTCAATTCATAGTAACAAAATTGAACTAAACTACACTAAATCAAGAAAGGTGGGGAGGGGGTTATGTAATCTATCGAAACAAAGAGATCAGACGTTGGGTCACGTTGGTCAGTCAGAAAGATGAAGCAAAAAGAAATTGTGGAAACTCATCAGTCACCCAAGTCCTTGCTATCTAACAAATATGCAAGATAAAATGGTGGTAGACTAAGAATACGCTGAAGAGATCTTCAAGTGACATTATATGCCACACAGGCCTTTAAGAGGGACCAAAACACGAAGCAGCGAGTTGAATTTGGGTGTAAAGGTGATGCAGAGATGATGTAAAGAGTAAATAAAAGTTTGTGGGTTGTTAAAGAGTCAGTTGAAAGTGTGATGGCTGGTGACTGACTTTCCTGGGAATGTTTCACTGAAGTTCTGTGTTCCACTTAAAAACAGGGAAAGAAGAAAAATAATTTCCGGTCTTCGGGAAAGCCTCCACAGCCTAAACGTTTTAGGCTTTCATAACATTTTAACTTATATCCTGATTAACTCTCCTTTCTTGTATTGTAAGAATAGATAGCTGAAATTCTCCGAATTCTTTCAAAAAAAGTTATTGAATAAAAGACTGCTTACTTCATACATTGGTAAATGGACACTATACAGTTTATCTTGTCACAACTAGACAGCGACGGAAAAAGGTTATGGACTATGGAATCATAGACTGAACCATTTCCAGATTAATTTCGTATTCATGTTTATACATTATGAACAGTGTCACAACTTAAACATTTTGAATTGATCCATGATAATATGATGTGGAATGGTTTCAGCATTTAACAAACACTCCATCTCATTGACGATTTTGTCATATTGACGATGTATACAAGACAAGATGAAAAAAGTATACACAGTTATACTGTTAAAATATGTATTCAGTATTCTACGGTTTCAAATTTCTTGTGTATTTAAAACACGAAAACTTGAATTTCTTTTCTGGCTTCTTTCCACCATTCATCTTAGTATCTAAACTAAAAAAATAGAAACCTGGAAGTCTTATTTCTTTTGGTAATATGATAGATCAATGGTACTTTCGACAGCTGAATTGAAATTAAATTGTTTAATTAAATCTTTAGTTTTATAAACCTGTAGTCAGATCCCTGAACGCTTAATGAAAGCAAATAGTCATCCGAATCGAACTTTGTATTTATTTCCCCCACTGAATTTGGTTATTTTGTGATGTAATATATAAGGAATATTTTCAAGTTTTGGTTTTCAGGGATTCGACTGGTTACAGGTTTTGATCACGACTTGACATCAGTCGGTTAGAGAAGCACTGGGAAGCCAGGAAATACTACACAGTTAGCTGTTCTGTCCTAGTTTTAGACTCTTCAGGAAGGCACATCCACTGGGGGTCGAACCCAGCACCTTCCAGTTTCAAAGGGAACTGGTATACCATTCAGCCACCGGGACCCTATCCTCCGATCCGTGAATTCCAACTTCTGCCATTTCGCGATATACATACCGCAACCGCCAGCTAGTGTCCTCTACGAGTAACTCATCTCTTACCTGACTCAGTGGACCCTTCCGGTCAGACAGAAAGTTTAAATTTTCGTGTATGACTTTGCTTCAATATGCATGATAATTTATTAAGTCGACTTTTTAATTTAAAGTTTCTTCTTTTTGTGTTCTAATTTATTCATAGGAAATGCAAGGCGATCGTAGGATACTACAATCCTTGAATAAAGATAAAAATATCAATGTTGTAGATAGTACAACAAAACTACGTTCTTTACCGAATGCAGACACGCATATCTTTGCTGGAACAGATGATGGTGATATTGTCTATGTTGATTGGATGCCGCATAAAGATCAAGACACAGGGAAAATGCAAACACCTAAACCAGAATTTTGTGCTTCACGACATGATGGTCCAATTAGCTTTCTTGAACGATCACCATTTGATGCAACTTTGATATTGGCTATCGGTGGATGGTTATGGACAATATGGAAAGAAGGTGTTACAAGTGGACCGATTATAGAATCTGGTCATGCAGTTAAGCCATTAACAGGTAACAATTTTAGCATAATTTATTCTTCGATCTAGTCGTAAGGAATTTCATAAAGTCAAAGAACATTTTAACATGATATAATATGATATATAGCTTCAATATACGACAATCTCCATGTCCCATATTTATCAATATCACCCTATTTATTTGTTACTGTTGGATTAATTTATTGATACTCTCTAGAATATAGATGTGATATCCGGTTAACCATCAAACAGTTTTCCCCGTTTGAGCGTAAGATATGACCGCTGAAAGTCACTGCTTTTGAAAAGAACCCCATGAGATGTATACAGTAATTGCTTTAATTGAACTTTCACGTTTAATCACATAGCAATATTATTATTATTCCCTTGGGTTTCAAGCGGAACATAAGGCTTCAGCATCACATCTTCACTCTACCCTGTCCTCTGCATTGTGTTATGGCTAGGTCTACAATCGCCTATAAGCTTTCACTTCCTCGTCACAAGATTTCTTCTATGTCACTCTCAGACAGCCAACTGAGAAGCAGCTTTTTCTATTCTTCTAGGCGACAGATAAAAAGATTATCTATGGGGTCCCTTATATCAGGAATAATTACTGAAGCGGTTATGCACAGATTAGAAACCATAGTTCCACCAGTAATCAAACCAAGAACGAGGATACCTTCCGAATATTATCACATTCTTCATAATTATAAGAAATTGTTTGAAAAGCACTAACAAACTATTCAAGTATTGGTTTGTAGGGATTTGATTGATTGGTTACAGGATTTCATCATGAGCTGACATTAGTTAGAGAACCACTGGAAGACCTGAGAGTACTGGACAGCTGTTTCGTCTGGGACTCTTGGTCAGTACGCACCCACCAGGATTAGCTCATAATGAAATCCTGTAACCAGTCAATCAAATCCCTACAAACCAATACTTGAATATCAATCAGATTCTAACTAGCGACTTGCCCTATTCAGGTAGGTATTTACCTGGGGTTCTAGTGTGAAGCCGTGATCAGTAGGGTGCAGCAGGTCGGGTGTGAGGATAAATACTCGCCGAAGACATTGGCTAGCGGTAGCGCTTCGCCGTGAATTCGCAGAAGTTGGAATTCATGGGCTGGCCATTGGATCGGGTCCCAGTGGCTTAATGGTCTACGAGCTCACCGTGTAACCAGAAGGTCCTGGGTTCGAACCCCAGTTGGTGAGTACTGCTGAAGAGTCCCAAATTAGGACCACAGAAACAGCTGTCCAGTACTCCAAGGTCTTCCAATGGTTCTCTCACCGATATCAGCTCATGATGAAATCCTGTATCTAACAAATTAGTTAAGAAAATATTTGAAGACATCAAATCATCAAGAGAAGAAGAATCAGACTATAAACTTCCTTTGTTAGGTGTCTTTGTTAAGAGAACAAACACAGGAAATCTAGAAACACAAGTATACAAGAAGTCCAGCTACACAAAATAAATACTCAATTACAACAGCAATCATCCAACAGCACACAGAAGAAACTCTGTACAAATATTATTCACAAGAATCAAAAAGCATTGCATCATTCTTGACCTGAACAGAATAAAAGAGAAATATTTATTAACCGCCTTCAAGACTAATAGATAGCCTGAAGACTTCATCAACAAATTTCTACACTTGAATCAAACTACCAGCGAGAAATCCTTCTCAGAAACTACAAGAAAGTTCATCCTATAATATATGAGGAGTATTTCTGAATTAACGGCTAGAATAATAAAATCATTCGGAATGAATGTCACATATAAACCAATACAATCGCTTCATTCATTACTATGCACAATAAAAGATTCAACAGCAAAAGAAAACAAGATCAACATCATCTCCAAGATAAACTTCATTGGCTGTGAAAAGCACTTCGGATTCGAGTCCAAGAACATAAACTAGCCTTCAAAAACAACACGTATTCCTTCATATAAATGTATGCAGATAATCACAAACACCACTTTGACTGTGAAAATGCAAAATTTTCAAACAGTGGAAGTATTAAAGATTTCCAGGGAATTCTTGGAAGCCTTTTTCCAAGTTTAATAATCACTCAGCAGACGTATTAACATAGACCAAGTCTGCCAACCACTAACGAAGAAGTTCCGCGGTAAAAAAAGTTAAACTTCAAGTCAATGAAATCATTTATACCAATACAAATTAATAATCAATCGAAGTCGATGTCATTAGGAGAGACAGTTACATCATTCATGGAAAATTCCAAACGAAACTAACTTCACACTGATGTAGGTGTTAATAAAATGTTGTTCAGAAGGACAATCACAGGTATGCAGTTAACCTAACCTGTTCAGAGAACACACAGAGGACAGCAAACAGGAGTTTTATTATGCGTTAAGATAGGCTTGATGTCAAATAAATAATCTTTGATAATAAGGTCATCTTTACCGCTAAGCAGTATCAACTGGAGAATAAACCAATAAAAGTTAGACAGCACTGAAACTCACCAATGACATTGGCTGATAGTGGCGCTAAAAATCACAAACTGACACAAGTTAAAATTCATGGGTCACCAGATACCTTCCGAATAGTCAACTATCTCGCCTCGTAACTTGAAGGATCTTTGTTTGACCACTGGTGTGGTCATGGGTGTGTACTGTAGAAGAGTCCCACCTAGGGACGAAACAGCTGTCAAATACTCCCTCTTTTTCAGTTGTCCTCTAACTGATAACAAGCTGTGATTAAACTTACAAACTTTTCAGTAGTCTACAATTCATAAAGGATTCTATTTTAAAATCAAATAAACCTACACGAACCTAATTGATGAGTCTTTATTATGCTTTGTTTTCCTCTTATGTTTTTTTCTTCATAGGTGGAAGTTGGTCACCAACACGCCCATCTGTATTTTATGTTTGTCGTGCAGATGGTAGTTTAGAAGTATGGGATTTACTTGATAAAACACATGAACCTACAATGATTCAATCTGTTTCCTCGAATGCGTTAACAGCTGTAGCATTATGGGATACACCTAAACGTCAATTTATAGCGACTGGTGATACTCAAGGTTCTTTACAAATATTTATTGTAAGCCAGTGTTATTAATATTATTATTAGTGAATTTCATGAACTCTTTAAATTTTAACAATGTAGAATTTCAAAGGATGACTGATTAGCGAGTGAACAAAAAATATTCTTTTCGATATATTCTTCGTCATTAGGTTTTATAATTAAATATTCATAACAGTTAAATCATAATTCTTATTAACAACATCATTTTTTCTTAAAATAATATTGAATTAATAAAATCAATAGATTACAGTTCAGTAACATCTGTAAGTGATGATATGCACCAGTGCAACATTAAAACGACTGATATCAGTTAGAGCACCATTGAAAACCAGATATTAATGGACAGCTGTTTCATCCTAGTTTGGGAATCATCGGCAGTACTCACCCACTGGGGTGGTTGCGCTAGACCACAGATTGGTAAAAGTTAGAATTCATGGGCTGGCCGTTGAATCAGGTCCCAATTGCTGAATGGTATACCAGTCAGCTTGGCTTGTAACCAGAAGGTCCTGGGTTCGAACCCTGGTGATAGGTGTGTATTGCCGATGATTCCTAAACTAAGGTGAAACAGCTATCTGTTACTCCCTGGTCTTCAATGGTTCTCTAACTGATATCAATCCATGGTAAAACTCGAAAAAACAAAAGAAAACTCCTTACAAATTCATTCTTGAAAAATAAACTACCAGATAAATTAAGAAAAATAATAGAGAATTTATGAATTTTTAAGTTCCACAGTAAGCCAGTGTAGCACTAGTGACTGGACGTGTTACTTTTGCACACAGAGCTCCCATTTGTTCTACGCGAATCGGAATGGTTTCTGATGTTTAGAGTATTCAGCACCCAGTGGTTTTCAGTAATTTATTTGGAATACAACAGGTGATAGAAAAAGATGCTTTGATTCTGACTTTGTGGATTGTGTAAATCAGTTGGCCGGATAGCTTTTACTATATTTTTATTTGGTCGCATCTGTAGGTGCACCGTAGCACGAAAAATAAAGTTTCTAGAGCAGTGGCCAACATAACTGTCGCCACAGAATCTGCTGAATTGATAGATACAAGGAAATGTGGTTAGTCTAGGTACTTCATCTTCCAGGTGACGAAACACAACCGGTCGTGAAGAAAATATGAGCTGTAGCCTAGTGGCATTAAAAGTTCTTTAGATCAGTATTTTCTTTAATTAATGGTTATTGTTTCACTTAATTCACCACCTTCGAATTGCAGTCGCACATACAGAGGCTTGTAGGTCATAGATACAGATACTATTTCTGGGTAGCTATTTCCAATATGGTGTAATAAACAATCTTAAGTTCATCTTCAGTTACGTCTTATGAACATATAACTCTGACCCTGTAGTGGAGGGTCTTTTATCAAATTTCTTGTGTACTGGAGGGGAAGAAAGCTATATTATTAAATAACAAGAATGGTTTAATTATATTATGAGTCTATAAGTGTAGAACTAGGTGAAGAAGAAGTTATCAGGAAGAATATCCTTTGTTCACTAATCAGTCATCTTTTCAAAGTGTTAATGGGCGTTTATAATCAATAAAAATACAGAATCTACTAATAACACTGAACGATTTGAATTATGACATTAGTCAATAAATTATTAAGATTCAGAAAGAAGTTAGTAAAGATAAACAAAAAGGAAGAAAATATAATGAGATGAATTGTAACAGGAATCTATGAAAATGTAGTACAAACCATTATTATCTCATACAACCTTCAAGGCTTCACTATTGGTTTGATGGTGGTACACGACGATGATTCGGGAGTGTGCGCCTTCACTTTCAGAAGTTGTCGACTGAGAGCATCCTCCTTATGTCTTTGTGGTTACTTAGATTCATGACTCCTGCTTATTCACTAAGATACTCGTTGTTTAACTTATATACTGGCTAGTCAAAAGAATCACTTAATGAATTGTTATCTAACACAGAACAGCTCAATTACCTCAAATGCTGAATTATAAACTTTTAAACTAGATGTAATCAGAGGTGAATAAAGTTATAAGGTTGAACCCATATTCGAGTGGCACACAGGGCTTGAGCAACACATCTCCATTTAACCTTGTTACCTGAAGTCATTTTTAGCTGGCCACATGATTTCCCATAAGCTCTCATCTACCCTCATATGCTCCTCTCCATGTCATCCTGAGACGTCGAACTCACCGTCTTCCTTCTAGATCCCACTTGAGGGCCTGGCGCTTGATGTCACTCGACGGTCTCTTCAGTATATGTTCAGTCTATCTCTATTTTCTTCTGCATATTTTCAAACTACAGAAAAAATGTAGAAAATAAAACTATTCTTCGCTGGAACTGGAAAGATGAAATGATTCGGGCTGGCCGAAGCCTTCTGGTAACTGGAGTAGATTATTGACTCTCCAGTTAACAGTTTAAAGAGTCTGCTTCCATTCCATTAACTCTCACAGATTCCTAGTACTTTTGTACCATACCTTCTTATTTCCTCGGCAATCTGAATAGCCTTCCTAGCTTCGAAAGTTGTGCGGACATTCTATTCCTAAATGCTAATTTTCGCTTTCATCCAAATAAGACCCATCGGCTGACTAACTTCCCAAAGGCTTTCATCAACATTCTGTCATCATATCTCTCTGATTTCAGTGAAGAATAAGTTTGTTTTTTATATTTATTCCCGTGCTTTAAAATTTTTGTAACGATTGGATTGATTTTCAGGGAAAGGGTCGCTAGTCTATCGATTTCAGCCAACTTTACATTTCTTTAATTTTAAATTTACTCATTAAATGAAGTTATCATTCACCAGACAAGATGAGAACTTGTTTAATTCAAAAATGATTATTACTGTTACATTTGTTCAACACAAAGGACACTCAGATTATTGATTCTATGTGGATTTTGATTTCGTGAGGAATCAATATCAGTTAGAAAATCACTGATAACTAGGGATAATTGAATAACAGTTTAGTTTTGGTTTGGGATTTGACTGAACGGTTAACCCACTATTCTTGTAACGACAGACTTTAACTTCTGCTGACTTGAGATATAGTCCTACCACCAAACAGTGCCATCTATGAGCACTGACTTCCCCATGATATGATGGACCCCACTGACCATAAAGTGTCACTAGAACATAAGCATACCTACCGAAAAAACCACTAGTAACCTGGAGAGTGACCCTGAGGTTTTGGGTTTTATAGTCATCCTGAATGATTTCAATTTAGAATTGACAGAACTTAAATTTTACGGTTGATTGAGTTCAGACCCAGAGGATGAATAGTCAAGAGATTGACCAGGTAGCTTGAAAATCGTGAGTTTGTTCCCTGGCGATGTCATAGATAAACACTGTAGAATGCTCTCAAATTGGAAGGAAACGGCTACTCACTACCAACTGGTTTTCAATTATTCTCTAACTGATGTGGTTCTTCACGATAACTAACTTGAAAATTAACATTTTTAAAAGTGAACCATTAACCTCTTTCAGTAATAGTAATAATAAGCACATACTAAGTAACTGAAATGTCATTTAGCTTTCTAAGACAAAACGCCACGAAATATATATCTGTGGTAATACCTTACGTTTTCAGCGACATTCTGTTAAATTTTTGACCGCTGTAACAAGCAGTTAGTTGAATATATTGTATGATAATTTTTGGAAACTTCTTTATCCTTTAATTTAGCAGTATGACTACTTTTTTTGAAAAACTTACGTAGTAATATTTTTGGATGCAGGAGTTATAGGTGGTAGTAAACAAGAGTTGCCAAAGCTCAATTAAGTCACTGTCCACCGGATGGATGACATCAGTAAGACAGTCTATAAATCACAAACTACTAAGATGTTTATAATGCTTATTTAGTAACTGTGACGTAGAAATGAAATAGCCTACTCTTCTGCGCAAATTGTTCCATCTTTCTATCTGCCAAACAAAGAAAAAGACAATAAGAAATTTGAGATATTTTCAAGTATTGGTTCTGTAGGAATTTTGTTCGATTGGTTGGAGGATTCCATCATGAGCTGACTTCAGTTAGAGAACCATTGGAAAACCAAAAGGGAGTACTGGACAGCTATTTTGCCAGCCTAGTTCGGGACTCCCCGTCAGTACGCACCCACCAAGGTTCAAACCCAGGACCTTCTGGTTATAAAGCTAGCGAGCTCGTGGAACACCAGGTCACTGGGACCCGAATCCAATAGCCCATGAATTCTAACTTCTGCCAATTCATGACGTAGCGCGACCACTTTGCAATGTCTTCTTCGATGAGTTACTGCCTAATCTTCAACCTGCTGTACCCTACTGGTCACTAGAACCCCAGGTAACTACCTACCTGAATAGGGCCAATCGCTAGTGAGCCTCAAATCAATTTTCAAGTATTGGATTTTGAGGGATTTTGTTTGATTGGTTGGAGGATTTCATCATGAGCTAATATCAGTTAGAGAACCACTGTATCTCAGTGGCTTAATGGTCTACGAGCTGGCCTTTTAACCAGAAGGTCCTGGGTTCGAACCCCAGTGGGTGCGTACTGATGAAGGGCCCCAAACTGGGGCGAAACAGCTGGCTGTCCTGTACTCCCTGTTGGTCTTCCAATGGTTCTCTAACTGATGTCAGCTCATGATGAAATTTAAGATACTCAAGCACTATAAAAATAGGCGGTTCAATGGTAGAATGCTTACCAACCAGACAGGTGACCCGAGTTCGATTCCCGGCAATTCATTCCTAAACTCCATCCAGTTTTCTAACCAGTAGTAAGTGCAGTAAATTGAGAAGGTTGGGTGTGAGACTAGCAACCCCACCCCGTAAAGAAAAAACGCCACCACTACTGAAACTTCAAAAATAGCTTGATACCCCATTAGACGCTCCTATTAAATAACCAGCTTTTATATACGCCTAATATGGAGAAGGAGACATCAACTAGAAAATTAGGATCGATAGCATTTCATCACATCAGAGTGAAACTATTACTATATTTGTATTAGTGTATTACCATATCAATAATCACTTTAAACATTCTGAATCCTGAAACCTTTCACAGACATTTTAAAAAAGTAAATCTTGAGAAACCAGTAAAACTTGGTTTATGCTGTTAATACATGACCTAAGTGTTTCCTCTATCTCATAGATTCTTGAAAATCTTTTCGTTTATTTCAGTTCCAAACTTGCTGTATCTGTAAAAACTTCAAATGATCTGAACTCATTGAATATAACGGCTACCTAGAATTATTTGTCAGAAAGGAATATCTTGAATAGATCTATTATTATTTTCAAAGCTTTGTACAAATCAACTCAAGTGGAGTGCTAGCACACCATTATTACTTCGAATTATCCCTAAAGATAATCACATTTGCATGATTCCTTTTCTCCAATATTATCGTTAATAATGCGTTACTTTATTTTGATGTCCTATCAAACTGGTAACCAGTTTGAACCCTTAGGGTTCACTGTTTTAAGTACCCGGACTTCAGCTACTGGATCAAATGCTGAAATCCCTTTCTGCCTACTTCAGCCTGGGCAACACAAAATAAGTTTTACTAGTCGCCTGATACATAAAAAATTTATTCCGGTTACCTAAGATCCGACTAAACTACTCAACAATAATTAAAATCGCCGGTGCATCGGTGGCACAGTGGTTGGGACTCTCGCCGACCATGCACATGGTCCGACGTTCGGTCCCCCGCCGACGCACACTTGATATCTATGGTTGGCCTGCTAAATTTGGGCTACCGATATCACACGCTGAAAATTTCATACTTGCACCAAAATACTTTGTGGAATCAAGCTATAATAAAATTAAAATAAATAGCTCTACAGGAGGTAACATGATCAGTTCATCACATTTTACAGATTCATTCTACACAGTAATTCAGTTGTCATTTAGTAAATTTTGTTTTGATTCCTTGTGTTCTAAGTGGAACATACGGCTTCAATTATTTAAATAGTTTTCAATAGAAGCGGTGGTGTTTGTTTTCTATTTTACACAGTTAGATCACTAGACTCATACCTACTTTTCCCTCTTTTTCGGGCTTACCATCAGTTAGTAAACTAGACAAGGCTTGGGAATTCGTCGCTCGGGAATCAAACCCCAACCACATGCGTCGATGACAAGCATTCTACAACTGAGCCACTGACGCAATCTATATTATCAGATTCTGTAATAAGTGCTGTTGAGGACAATCATTTAATAGTGTAATTATCAAGTTTTATCATAAATTGACATCACTTAAAGAACTAATAAAAGCTAGAGAGTACTACTGAACAACTTTTCTGCCTTTTTTTCTGGGGACTCTTCAACAGTACACACCTATAATCCCACCAGGGATTGAACCCAGGAACTTCAGGTTACATTGCCAGATCATAGAACATTTAGCTACTGAAACCATTTCATGCTCACACTTAAAATTTGTTAAACAACATTTTAATTAAATCGAATCCTTGTTTTATTTCTCAAAAATCGCTTAGGTACCTCGACGTCTCAAGACTGCATTACAGTTTGAATTAAAAAATTTCAGTGAATATATTTCACGTGAAGTGAAAAGAAGAGAATTTGTTATAATGCGTTGGAATTTAAGAGAACAAGAAAGAATCGAGCAAGAGGCTGAAAATAAACGAAAGGCCGGTGTAGCTCCAGCTGTTGTCTTGACCGAAGAGGAAATTATTCAAAAAGAAAAGGTAATATTCCATCATATAGCAAATTCTATTTGATAAAAAACCCACAGTGAGTGATACAGTACTATTTATTTACTGATGACATTTCGAGCACAATATATTGCTCATAATCTCACATCAAGACATCCAAATAACTTTCAAACTTTGTTCAAATAATTTGATCACTTCTTACACTTTGATTTTATTGATAATAAGACCCTCCATCTCCCTGGTATCGATGCTGCATCATTCCTATTCCACGTATTAGGTCAGTAAAGGAAACTAAAGTGGAATATCATCTCGTTGAACTGTATGAACTGCAAATCACGAATTAATTATCCAATACAGAATCAGATTCTATGTATTGCCAGTTCGTCCAAGTAGCTAACCAGAATTCAGGTGGTATGAAATGATTCGGCTGTCCAAGTGGAATCAAACTTGGTACACCACCGATATGCTCGACCCCAAACAAGCAAAACGGCCATCTGGTATCTAGATCACTGCGATTTAGCTAACAACCACTACTGCAGGACATGAGTGATTTCCAACCACTTCTCTCAATCTATAAGTAGTGTATAGTCTCATACATTTATGGTTGTCATTGTACAGCTAAGTGAACGAAATCGCCGCAAAGTCTCTTAGGTGAACCGTGTGTCTTTATGCGTATTCTTTGTTTATTAATTAATTAATTATTAGTTCTCTTTTTTTCTTTTAAATAAATTTCAGTTGGAGTATGAAAAATATCTTTCAGAAGAACATGCCTTCCTAAGATCCTTAGGATTAATAGAAGAGAATAGCGATTCAGTCACTTAAAAGTTCAAAGACACGAATTAGATCCAAGTATAAACAAAACATATAACAATGTAATTTCAATAACAATATCTTCGATGATGATGTATAAATGCATGTCTTCCAAATAAATACTTCTAAAACCAAAGAAACGAGAAATACTGCTTTCATAGTTGTATATAGAAGAGTTGTATTTTAATTTCAAAATTTTATTACGATTATTCCATCATTATTTCTAATCATATATATACATATATATAGGTGGACAGATTTACAAACAGCTTCTGTGTATTAAAATGTTAACCTTTAAATTAGACACATTATTGTTTTATCTGAATTGTATTGTATTCAAAATATAATTTTAATGTTTGTCCATATAATTCGTTTAAACACAGAATTGTATTAAGAAGTATTTATGAGGGCGGAAGAACTCTGATGGAAGTCACTTTTTTCTCTTGAGTGAGAATAAAGGCTATCGCGAGTTGTTTTTAGGCATAGTATAGAAAACGTCACGACATATTCTAACTGCGCAAAAAGTTGATAAAAAACCATTAAAACAGTTAAACGTAACACCTGACATGATTACAGCATTCCTCTATACTCGTAATACAAAATTAATTACCTCAGGAAATCCAAACCTTAACTGACCGCCTCCGTTCTACCTAAACATTCATACCGAAACAAAGGCGCAGACAACTTTGATTTGCAGCAGTGTCTATCCTCACCCCTTTCACTTATCTAGGCAACATCGTTTGAACAACAGGTGACACAGATGAGGAAGTCAAAGGCAGGATTGCAAAAGTAAAATAGACCTTTATTAGTCTGAAATCAGCGTAGAGATCTTCCGTACTCAGCCTAAGGTACGAGATCTAGATCTTCAATATGAATACCAAATCAATACCTCTGTGTCGTTTAGAGAGACTGTGTGAGCGTCAAAGAAGGCATTTTCAATGGGCTGCATTCTCTCGGTATTGAAAATCTGATGGCCAAAAGGGATAATAAACAAGGAACTCTGACAAAGTACCATCCAAGAACCTGTCACCCAACAAATATCCATAGGGAAAAGGAGATGAATTTAACATGCTCTGAGGTCACCGTGGAGTAAAGTCACTCTCTAGGCCGTCAAAAGGAACTCAAATGGGAAATAACGAGTTGGCGTCCGTGGGTGATATGGAGATAGTATGATGAGGAAATGAAAGCTTCTGGGCAGTCATGTGGCCATCCTATAAGGACTGCAAAGAACATAGCTACATAGAGATCATCTGCCGAAGTCTACCGTTCCACTCGGAACACAAGAGAACGAAAACAAGAATGCTTTAAGTCAGTCAATTAATGAAAATCTCACCAGTCAATTTATTATTGCAGTGATGGCAATTTACGGATAATATTGAAATGAAGTGACTTGTTGTGGTGTGAATTTAAGCACTAGTGAGATAAAGATGTGTCACTGTATTCGAGTCCACAGATGCAAATAGTCGTTTTCTCTTTTTCTTCAGGTTAAGCACCTTATTTACACTCAAAAGCTTAGAAAATAGTTTGAGGTTCATTGTGCAATAAAAAGTTGGTAAAACTCATTCAGACTACAGAATTTTTGTGAGAGACAGCGCCACACAAACGGAGTTGTCAGCGTTTGTGGACAGTGAAGGGGCAACATATGGTTTGTTCATTCGAACGTACCTCCATGTCGGCGGGAGGCAATAATGGCAGCAGTGGTCTAATCGTGTGCTGTTTGGCAGAAGACTGAAGGAAAACGACCAGAAGTATTTGTGTGATTTATGCTGATGTTCACCCATAAACTTTGTGCTGTAGTAACCATATGGTCCTTGTTAACGGCCAAGTTAAACTTTAGACCCCAGTTACTACCAATCAGCGAACAATATCGAATTATCCAATGAGATTCACGAACACAGTTCAATGCTGTATAGCGCTTGATTCATTTCATATGCGTGCCCTTAGAAGGTTACGTTTGCAATTCGAAGAGGACACTGTTTTCCAGTATTGTCTGGATTTAGGGTTGCTCCGGAAGGAGCGAACTTGTTCGTGTGGGGGTATCATGACCTTAAAAAGCTATAGTAAGTCAACTGATGGATTTGTCCATTGTTGTGCTATATGCTCCAAGCGTGTTAGCATTAGAGAGGGTAAGTTGATAATTTTCATATTTCGTAGGAACTTTTTTTGCAAGGTCACACCTCTCAATGACGTAAATTTTATATATCTGCAACTACTGGGTATTGAAACAGCCAGTGAGAGCTGCAGCTGCCGAGACGGAGAACAGCCTCGTCTCAGCAGTCCAATGGTACCAGCATTGTATTATTATAATGCAACGATTAGTTTTCTGACAACAGCACTAGGTCCGGGATCTTCTTCGATTCAGCCAATTGACAGCAACGAAGAGACGGCCTTATTTGAATATAGAGAAAACGGAAGCGATTAAAGTACTCATTCAACGATATTCAACCCAAATTATCATCATTTAAAGAAACCTAAGCGAAGTCATCTCCTTCACTCCCCTGACTTAGGTAGTAGCATGGATGAAGATGTCAAAATCAAACGAGGTCCAAAGGGTAAGACAGGAGTTCATTACTATGCAATCAGTAAGAATATCCACAGCACAAGGAACATAACTCCAATTTCTAATGGTTATGTCAGTCCGGTCTCTGTTTCGATCCTGATGAGCGACTTAGTGCGTCACAAAAAAGTGTATCAGTCAGTCTATTGCAGACTCCCATCAACACGTACCTCCACCTGATATTGTTGATGAGATAGCCAGCCAGGAAGAAACCAGCCAAAAACATTTTGTCCAACAGATATGCGGAAATAAATGGTGACGGACTGAAAACTTGCTGAGGAGACCTATAAGTAACATTACATGCTAGATAGATTCTTGATTCAAACCTGAATGGGAAACAAACAGTTGAGCGTTCATTAGCAACCTACCTACTGAGTGTTTCACCCATTGAAACTTGTGATTTTCTTCTCCATAATCTTCTCACCTCCATTCATACACAATGTCACAATGAAATGACTTTCATTTTAATAAATTTAGTGCCTGTGGTGACATAAGGTGACTGCTCTACCTCACTCCACTTCCACATACTACTGAACGGTTGAGGTAAGTAGTTGTATACCACTCATGTCAACCTGCAATGCCTGCTATCCAAACCAGAATGATCCAAACATCAAACGGCTGTCTCACTTGCTTGCAGACGATCTCATCACCAGCGTTCCCGACTTGTCTCATATCAGAGGGCAGAGTTAGTTCAAAACAACCTGGAACCTGAGCTAAAGATTTTGATTAGAAGTGCAATTAAAGCTTTATGGTTAAACTCTCTCTGCACCAAGCTGTAATAATTAACTTCCAGGACTGGCGGTCGCCCTGAGAAGTAACAAGTATTCATGAGCATTTGATAGCTAATTGTGTAATGTCACCTCATTTGAAGAGTGAGTCGATAGCAGTACTTTAAAGTGGAATAGTTTTGCGTAGTGGCGTTAAAATATGTCGTCATCTGTAATGACCCCCGAAAACCTTGTGATCTAAATTTTACTGGTATTTTCCATAACTGAGCTTCTTTTAGTTACATTAGGACTGTCATTTAACGGCGGGATGCGAAGTTCGATATATAACTTTGTTAGAATAGCTTTAGCATTCGATCCGTAATAGCCTGGAATTAGACCCTGGGATATCTGAAAATAAATGCACTCCTCCTTTGTCAATCTTGTTCCTATAGAAAGCAAGCACGACTGCCCGGACTCAGTTTTTTTCAGTTGTTTGCATCTATAGCACTTGTGAGAGTTACATTCTCGCTGTGCTGGCTGAGGTGGTATACAGAACAGCCTGGCCACCGGGTTGGATGGGCCAGGATAAAGGGTCAGCAGTGTCGCGAAAACTCGCGTCTAAGCGGATAGATCACTACACATCAGTCATGAGCTTTATTTCTATTCAAAATCAACCGGAAGCGAACTCGAATTCGTTCAAGCAAACTGAGAGACTGGTTTCAAAGAGTGCTTCTAACCCTAAAGTCAGGCATTAAACCCGACGGACTGTCTTTTAATGTAAGTGTGAAATGAAAATTTACCGCTTAGCAATGATGACATTTTCGTTTAGCCACTAATTTCTTCATATTCATTCAGGCCTGGTAGCAGTATTGAGTCGAACGTTATTTTCGTCCTATTAAGGGCTTATGTATGCGAGACATTTGCCAAATTATCATCGACGGGTACAGCAGCTTAACTCATTTACATTTAATAGGATAATGGAAGCTTCAGGAAGTTCAAATGTACGCTCATTAGCTTCGGTTAGTCTGCCAAATAAGCACCCTCTCGATGGAGAACGGCAATCGTTATGGTGTCAAAAGGAGCAATCTTTGATTTGTTGATGTCCTCGGTTTTCCTGCACGATCTATTCAATAACCTAATCTCTTCAGCATCTTTCACGCCATGTACAACAAGAAGAATCAGCAAAGCTGCTGAAGGACTAGACGGACGTAGATAACTGGAAGACAAAAGAGGGCCACCTCCAGTATAAACGGATTTCCGATGATGTTCCTCGGTACACCTGTAAATCGAAGAGTCTCCTGCCGCTTTTGAGGAACTGGTCCATCTCTTAGAGCCCAAGTGCGAGCTCAGACTTCTTCTGACATGAAAAGTGGACGTAGGCTACAATAACACAGAAGACTCAGTCAAAGCCACCAAAAAGCTACTCCACGCACAGGTAGCTATATGCCGTTACGCCCGGAATTTTCAGTGCAGCTGCACAAAAAACATATAGGACCGTATACATAAATACATCACATCAGTGCATTGTCACCTTTAGAAATATATGCCAGTATGTTGGAAAATGTAGGAAAGAGGGCAAACAAAATCGTCATTACTCTGACATGCTCACCGTATGATGGTCAACTCGGAAAGCAGGATGGATATGCCATCAGAAATTAATCACGCCATGGAAAAGTGTGCAGTAGAAATTACCACAGCCGAACTACATTAACAGATGGACACTAGGAAATCCCTCCGGTGGCCTCGGAGAAATAGTTTACCAGAAGGCAGCAACGCGAATCTGCCTGAATCTAATTTTTGTCTAAGGACTTGTATATCATGGAATCTAATACCAGCTTACGTGTCCACTGATCAATCAGCTAATAGCTTCTTGAGCAGCAAAATCCTTTTTCCTTCACGTTCCCAGTGGAACATAGGGCTTCAAGCTAGTGGCTTGAAGTTTCTGCAGCAATGTTTAATTTTTACAGGATGTGGTTGATAGCCTCATGCCCAACCTTTCCTCTTTACCAACATTATTTCTGGCGTCCGCGGATCGGACCCCGGACCATGTGCATGGCCGGCGAGCGTCCTAACCGCTATGCCACCGACGCAGCAAAAATTACGGCAAAAAATTTAGTCCAATTCTGAAGGATGTATTAGTGCCACAAATATCCTACATATCTTACTAACTCCACTATTATTTTCAGATTTCATTTTTATCTCTATTCTTAACAATCTCTTTTGTTTACATTCTTTATATCTGCTTGTGCTCCCACTACGACAACTGTTTTATATTCAGAACTCTCATGCAACCTTCCATTTGTTTTGAATTATTTAGTTCTGCTGTCTCTCATTTGCTTGTTGAATTAGGGGAATAGAATTTGCAAACCTCAGAAGCTCGCGCTCCTTGAATACGATGTGCATTTTCCTCTCTAACAGGAAATATCCACTTTTGTGAATAATTCGTTTGAGAAACCTGATCTTCCCATCCGGCGAATTTTATTCAACCATTTCTTCTTCACCGAGCCTGTGTTTGGTACTTCCCACTGTCTCGAACTACTGCCTAAGCTTCAGGTGCTACTTCTGTAGCAGCATCCCCCTCACTCTTACAAACATACAGGACTTGTTGGTCTGTTACGTGATTGTTGTGAAGCCGAATAACCCGAAAGTTACTGGTAAAGTCAAAAGCTTTTACTTATATACTTTTTCTTTCTGTTCTGTGCTTTCTACTGTCTTTTGCTGTCAGTCTATTGGACAGAATAACTACACTGTCTCTTATTATTTAATCATCGGTATTAATTTAGGAGTAATATGACTATAGATTCTCACCCTAAGATAAGTAATGGGAGACCATACACCGTAGTCACCAGGGCTTCAGCCAAATTACTCAAACAGGTGAAGGTGATGGAATCTCGAATACCGGTCTTGAAGACTAGGGTAAATATTCCCTGCGTGGACAGATTGCCCATGTCGCCGCAGTCCTACAGTGAGGCTGTGAAAAGTCAACCAAGCGGATGTGGCTCCATCCTTGTTAACACGACTAGATTAATATAGCCGAGTGGTAAATCTGCACATAGTGAGAATAGTATAACACCCATATTCACAGTAGGCCTTGAAACAAACAGGAAGGCCAATAAGAAACGTTCACGACGTCGCAAGACGACGAAAACGTTCCCCAAAAAGGCGGACGATTGCAAGGTCTGCAATTCTGTTGTCGAACAAGTAGACTCTGCTTTCGAATGCAACTTTTGCAAGCAATGGGTCGATTGTAGATGTGACACCGGAGTACCAAAGGTATATTACGATTTTATGCGTAAGAACCCATGCCCATGGTTCTGGTACATTTGCCCAAGTTGCCGTCCTAATGCAGCCTCGTGTAGTTCCTCGAAAGCTAAAGATGGCATAGAGGTATCAGGGAAAAACGTGAAACGTTTTACTCCCACCAACTCAGAAAACAGCACAATTGCATGTAAATCGGGGATACCGAAATCGACACCGGTTAAACTTGCAATTCCTGCCATAACTGCCCCAGACACAGAGGTTGAAGCACCAAGGGTATCTGTCGCTGGGAAAAGACCGTCCAGTAAAAGTGGCCACAGCACTGCGACACACAATAATACCCAGTTGCACCAGACGAAACAAAACGGTCCTAAGGAGGACCGAACCCAAATCCACGGTTAGTAGACCAAACTGCGTAATCCTCTTTAATGTACCAGACTGTAGCAGTAGTCTGCTGGAAAACAGGGCCCTGTTTGATCAGTAACAGTGGTCCAACTTGTGTAGCACACTGGGTCTGGACATCCAACCAGTAAAACTATGCAGATTGTACAGGGGCACTGCTGCTCCTCAAGGCAAACCATCCCCACTGAGAGTAACACTAAGCTCTACCGAGGATGCCGAAAAAGTTTCGCTGACTTCCCAAGTCCTTTCTATAGGGAGGACCTGCAATATACGTGTTAGGCCAGATAGGCCATGGAAGGAAAGACAGATGGCGAGGAAGTCGTCGGAGCTTATTCCTTCTGCCTTCATGGTTGTTCACGGCATTCCCGAACTGGAAACTGGGAACGCTTGTGAGAAGCACTGTCACGATGTACAGCAATGGAGATGGTTGGCATCCCAGATGGCTCTGGCAAGTTCAGGGGCTGTCTCTATTTATAGACAGGCTCGACCCACTCACCTTATGTCAATTAACACGCCACGTCTTTTAGCTGTTAAGTTCAGCTCCCGAGACCATTTGACTACTGCTCTCCAGAGATGGTACGAGACCAAGGACAAGGTCAGCAGACACATTCGCTGCTGCGAGAGCCGGCCTCGTATCCAGAGGAGAGAACAAAACGTTGTCATAGAATATCCCCAACCCCTAGTCACAATACAGCGGCGCAGCATGGACGATGATAGCCAGTGTCATCCAAGTGCTCCGATTGAATCAGAAGAAAAAAACGCCAACAGGCCAGTTCCTGGGGAATCGGCCAACTAGTTCGTAGGATAACTCCTCAACCGACAGCCCACATCACGTCAACCACCCCCCAATACGGGGACGTGGTGAGACTGACTACCAGTTGCCTGTACAGTAATGTGAGAGGTCTAAGAGGCAAAATAGATGAACTTAGATACCTGCAATCACAGCTGAACTCCAAAATCATAATACTGACAGAAACCTGGCTAACCCCTACGGTGGCAGACAGCGAAGTCAGTATAAATGATATGGTCCTAGTCAGGCGAGATAGGGACATGAAAGAAGGAGGTGGAGTCGCCATATACGTCCACAAACAGCTCAGATGTGTCCATGCAATCGACCCTCCCTTCATTGAGCTCCCTTACTCCATATGGTGCCATTTCACCGTTGGGTACTGTATCTAGTGGGCAGCATTTACAGATCACCTTCATGTAGAGCAGACCACAACCAGGTACTGCTGAATGCAATTTCAGCGACACAAGACATGGGTTATGATCAAATTGTCATGGCTGGAGACTTCAATGTCCCATCTCTTAACTTGATGACGGGATATGCCCATAATAGATTTGATCGAAATCTGCTGCATACCATCAGGGAGGCCGGATTCACTGAAAATGTCAGAATGGATACTAGATGGGGCCCAGATGGGAAGTCTTCTAGACTGGATTATGTGCTCACTAGTGACCAGCTACTAGTGGAAAACGTTCAGATCACGACTCCCATAGGTAGTAGTGACCACACGGTCATAACATCCGACATAGTCCTCCGCGAGCGTTTACAGTGGGAAAATACACAGCTCTATCTGTGTTATAACAAAGCCAATTACACCGGAATGCGAAGACTTTTGTCTGAAGCAAATTGACCGAAAAATTGGACAGAGCTTACAGTAGAAGAACACTGGGGAGTGTTAAAGGAGATCATTCACCAGGCGGTCTCAGATACTGTTCCTTTAGTCACACCTAAAGATAGAAAGCAACGTTCATGGCTAAAAAGGAGGACACAACGCCTTCTACAGGCGAAGCGAAAAGCCTGGTTTGCGTGGCGAGTATAGAAGAGTCAACCTGAACATGAAGTGTACCTCGAACTCAGGAATCGGTGTAACATACGAGTCCGGAGTGATAGAAGGACATTTCAGAGAAACCTCGCCAATAAGCTTCTCGTGAACCCAAAAAGCCTATACAGGTTTATGTCTGAAAGAAAACCGACCAACCAGGGAGCTTGCAATCTAGTGGGCTCTGATGGGAAATCTCTTACTAGTCTTGAGACATTCAGTCTAGCCTTTCACAGGCAACTGAACAGTAATGAGGATTTTACCCCCACTAAACATCAAGATTACAATGCAAGACCAACGTGCGAAAACCTGCTGGGCATATTTCAAATTACCCCCGCTATGGTACTCGTAAAATTGGGAAAGTTGGCTTCGGGAAAGTCTGCAGGTTGCGATGACATAAGACCATCCGTCCTTAAGCAGTGTTCAGAAAGTCTCTGCCATCCCCTAAGTGATCTGTTTCAACACTCCTTTGATGTAGGGAAATTTCCACGTGAATGGAGACGAGCCATCCTATCCCCTATCTTCAAGGGTGGTGGCCGGCAGAACGCGACCAGTTACAGACCAGTTGCGCTACTCCCAGTGATATCGAAGATATTGGAAAGTCTCATTGACGACCACATGAGAAAATACTCCGACGGGACTAACCTACTCCATGAAGCACAGCACGGTTTCAGGAGGGGAAGACCCTGTGTGACGAATCTTCTACTAGCTTGGAACGATTGGACACTATCCTGGGACGTAAAGGTACCAGTCCATGTGATCTTTCTCGACTTTGCGAAAGCATTCGACACAGTTCACCATGGTCTGCTCCTTCACAAAATAAGCAAAGCGGGTGTTTCTGGAGCACTTCTCGCATGGCTGGAAGATTATTTAGGCGAGAGAGAATTCTGCACCAAAGTCAACCTCATTCGATCATCCTGGCACACCTCGGCATCAGGGGTTCCTCAGGTTTTTATCTTAGGGTCGTTGATGTTTTTGATTTTTATCAACGCCCTGCCCTGTCAACGGAGCTGCTCTGCGCTTCTTTACGCTGACGACGTAAAGATTTGGAGAGCAATAAACTCATCGGAAGACTCCGACACGTTGCAGGCTGACCTGCAAACTCTGGGAGACTGGGCTCTGGCTAACGGAATGCCTTTCAACCTAAAGAAGTGCAAAGTAGTGCAACTTCATTCTGCTAGGTCATAGAGTGTAAATTACACCCTTGGTGGCCAGATCTTGAGTTGTGTGCCATCAGAACGCGACCTAGGTTTTATTTTAACAGAAAAGCTAGACACCAGTGTAAATTACATGAGGGACGTCGCCAAAGCTTACGCCACTTTACACTTTATGCATAGGCAGCTGGGAGCTCTTACTCCTGAACTATTCTTAACGTTGTATAGGACATACGTGAGGCCACTCCTTGAGGTGCATAATATCATTGCTCCTCCGCTACTCAAAAGGGATGCTAACATTCTAGAAAGTGTCCAGAGACGAGCGACAAAATGGGTGATCGGCCTTCGCGACAAATCATATGAGGAAAGACTGAAGAAATTAAGTCTTTTCACACTTAGTTACCGTAGTCACAGTGTAGACCTCATCACCGTCTATAAGATCTTAAATGACCAGGCCCACCCTAATAAAAGCATCCTGCCATTAAGTGATTACAGGCTTCCACGAGGTAACCCACTAAGGATAGCACACCAGAGACCAAAGACTCGAGTGCGTTCACATTTCTTCTCGCTTCGAGTTTGCCGTCTCTGGAGCGCTTTACCGGCGGCCGTAACTACAGCGCCATCTGTGGAGACTTTCAAGCGGAAGCTGGACAATCATGCAGAAATGCATGGTTTGTGTCTCAATGGCTTATCCTCTCAAAATTTGAAACCACACTGTCAATGGATAAGCACACAAGCTAAATCCCCACGACCCGTCCTGTCTTCTCCCACTGTACCGACTACTCTATCTTTTCTTTCTTTCTTTATTATTTCACCCTTATTTTTTCACTTATCTCAACCTATATTATCTACACTACAACCTATTATTATTACTATTCTACTTTTATGACTACACCGAATGACCAACGGGTGTTAAGTCAAACTCCATTCACGGCAGCAGCTGAGTCCCAACATACTGCACACTACAAACCACAATCTTGACCAATCCTCCCACCACTCCTCTTGGAGTCTACCAGAGCTAAAGCAGTCGAGTGGCGGGATTTACTACGCATAAGTTCACCGAAGATCTGGAACCTCTACCTTACAATCAAGAAGCGGGCTCAAAGAAATCACTGGTTTGATACTAGCTCGTAATCAGGATATTGGATATTGGAAACACCTCTGCAGGGGTACGAAGCTAACTTTTTTTTATTACAGCTTGATTCCACACCGTATTTTCAGTACAAGTATGGAATTTTCAGCTTGGATATCGGTAGCCCAAATTTCAGGCCGACCACTGATATCGGGTGTGCGCCGGTAGGGGATCGAACTCCGGACCATGTGTATGGTCGGCGAGAGTCCTAACCACTGTGCCACCGACGCACATTCAGCACAGCTGCAGCATACGAAGCTACAGACTGCGCTGGAAACCACCAAATGTCTAGAATGGTTCCTAAGCTCCAAGAAGAGAGAGCTAATAATTCATACGCTTCTTGTGAGATCACCAAAAACGTATTGGATACTCACCTTGAGTGCCGTTTCGAATAAGGACGGTACATCATAAAATCCGATGATACCCGCCACGGTTTGTGCTTTTGTAGTTTTTTGGTTAACGAGTCTTAAAGAATCACTTAACCCACGTTTTGTACAAAATAAGTTAAATTGTATTCCGTGTGTATGCAATGCATCCGTTAGCCTACGTATTCGGGGGCACTAGAGCTTAAAAATGCATACATCTGATTGGACACCAGTGATTGGTGTGATGTGTCTAGTCCTTTCTTTGGTGCAGACTGAATTCTATTAGTCAGGTTTGCAAGGTTCAAGGAATCCTGCTGATTGCTTCCAACCATCTAATGTCATTAAATGCATGCATTTAATGAGGTATGCATACCTCTGTCAGGCAAGTTTCTGACAGATCTGTGGCGATAAACAATTTTAAAAGTTTTCAGTGAGTTTCATTTTATGTCGTGGAGAATTATGGAGTAAAAGAGAAGGTTTTGGGTACTGAAATGTGAATTATTTTGTTTGACTTCCTCATTTCTAGTATAAGTGACTTTCTGCAGTTATTTTGGTATACAAGCTTATTGTATTATAACATGAAAATTGTATAACCGTCTCACTCAAATGCGTAAACGTATGATGGAGTGTTCAAAATGTTTTGATTAATCTAATGACCAATAATAATTGGTCATGAAATAAGCCTAACTGTTATCTATATTTTTTATCAAACGAACTGTTTTTGTCGAACGTACCTGATTCTACGCCCCATTCTTTCAACACTTGTCACTCTGCTATTTAATACAGTTTTGTTGAAACCGGATCTTTTAAACATTATCCAGTCCGACACCGGAAACCAAATCTCACATTAAGCAGTACATTTTTTCGTTTCGTGACCTTAGCACATACAAGAAGGGTTGCTACAACAATCTGTCCGCTGTTGGTTTGTTTGGTTTGGAGGAAAAGACCGTAGGAGAGACCCCTGAGTATTTTTAACTTATTCTGGCGACATCCCACTGTTGATATTGTAAATTGTGTGAACTACAAAAAAGGATCTCCGAAAACTTTGCGTAAGAGACAAATGTGACGTTATCTAGCACTGCCTTACAGCTACCCACTATTCCAACCTATCTGGAATACGATGTAGTCGAGGTTACGGAAGCTCCGGTCTTGCATAAGACGAAGAAGCAAAGTCCTATGATACATAAGAGGGAAAAGAACAAGAAGTTCAGCAAATATATCTTTTCGGCGATTTCATTCTCAAAAGCTCTACAATCGCATTTATATCCATAAGCTTAGATAGATAAAATTGTTATTTGTTTAATTCCACGTAGCAACGAAGATGATTAAGGGTCAAAATAGATTTCAACTTGATATGAAAGTTTAAATGTGTGAATACATGGACGACAAGAATCTAAACCTCGGAACACCAACCTGTTATCTGAAACAGTTATTAGTAAGGTGTACACTTAACGTACTATTTACATTCAACGACGTAATCTACAGACAGAAAGACGAGATTGTCATGAGCTCTCCCCTTGGCCCCCTTTTGGCAGACTGCTTCATGGCCAACCTGGAGAATGGGATCTTAAAATCAACAATGAACAAATTGCTGCTGTACAAAAGGCACGTCGATGACACTTGTAGTTTGTCGGGATGATTATGATTTAAATTGTGTCTTGCAGGAGTTTAATAATTGCCATCCTTCAATTAAATTCACTATGGAAGTTGAAAATGAATCAAAGATTCTATTCTTGGACGTCGAATTGACAAGAAGAGATGACAGAACTCTGGAAAAATCTATCCACAGAAAACCAACATGGAATGGTCAACTGACAATTTTCTACAGCTGGGTACCTAACAGTTGTAAGCGAGCTCTCATCATCTCGCTGGCCCACTGTACCAGAAGAATTTCCAGCGATGACTGCTTAGAAGAAGAGCTTCTATTTCTTAAAAACATCTCTCAAAATGGATACCCAGCGCGTTTCGTGGAGACCAATATGAAACCAAAGACAAAAAGGGGAAAATGCACTTCAGTGCCAAAGAAGACACTTTATTTGTATCTGGAATTCAGAGGTGATCTAGAAGCAGATATCCTTAAAGGGAAAATCGGCAAAGTTCAACAGTAGCGTCCTAGGAGTGTGAACGCTCTAATGACCTTGAACTCATGGTAGTCGTTGGCTGACGGCACCTGTCATTATCATAGCTGAAATGTCAACGCTATTCACCAACTAAGCAGCAAATTATACTCAAATCACGTTTTTAAGTACTTTTTGGACAAAGTGGTAATAGCTCGTTAGGGTTAGGATTAGAGTTAAGGTAAGTATTGGGGTTAGGCTTAGGATCAGGGTCGTAATTAGCATTATGGTTAGGTTTACGGTTAGGATAAGGGTTGTAATTAGGGTTAGTGTTAAGTTTAGGGTTAGGGTCAGCATTAAGGTTAGGGTTACGACTAAGGATAGATTTAGAGTTGATGTCACCTATTTTAATCTGTTTTCTTATCCACATTTTCCTGGTAAGTAGTCTTTGATCCTCTTACTGGAAACCATAGTAACTCGACTGAGGGCTTTTAGGGAAGATTGCACAACAAGATAAGAAAGAAAAACAATTCACAAAAACAGCTAATCTTCAGTCACTTCGGTGAATATATGTACAGAAACTAGTCCAACATAAGAACTGGTACTCATCATTTCAGAGAAAGATACCCTGTTTAATGTGTTTTCATGCATTTTCTTGAAAATATCCATCATTTTGTGTGCTGAAGGCCACTCGTGCGTTTGCATCCCTTGGGACGCTATTGTTGAACTTTGCCCAGTTCCCTAAAGAAGACTTTTCCTACATCAACTCTAGGAGTTATATTCTATAGCTACCCACTGCTTCTGAGCAGTGTGAAGGACAGGCTTCCGCATATGACCACTTCAATGTTCATATATCAGTTCACCTGCTCGTGCGGAGCTAGATACATAGGTCGTTCTATAAGGGTCCTATCAAAACGTGTTGGAGAACATTACCCAGCATGGCTGCGAAGAGGAGGCACTGGTTCAATCAAGAGCGCCATAACAGAGCACCTTGTCGACACTTGTCACAGCATCTCAACTGACTCATCATTCAGAGTCATTTACAAAGTGTGTTCAAAAGAAACTGGTTCAACCCCTACATTTACCATGGACCTAGCTCGGTTTGTCTCCTTTTGTCCCGCTTTTTCATCCCCTTCATTTCCTTTTTTACAGTTTTAAAATTATTATTCTTTCAACTTGTTCCCATGCTTATCCCGTTCACACCTTTAGTCGTTAAAACCTATTTTCTGATCCTGTATAATTTTGTTTCCAAGCCCCTTGCGATCTATATTCACATCTTCAAACTTTCGTATCAATTTAAAATTATTTCTCCAGTTGTCAAATATTCATTTTACATACATTGTAACTGTTTTCTAATCCTATGTAATCTTGTCTCTAAGACCTTAAAATCTATATTCAAACTTTCATATCAAGTTGAAATCTATTTTGACCCTTAATCATCTTCGTTGCTACGTGGAATTAAACAAATAACAATTTTATCTATCTAAGCTTTTGAGAATGAAATCGCCGAAAAGATATATTTGCTGAACTTCTTGTTCTTTTCCGTGTGATACAATCCCAAAGGATTTTATAGACCCTGGTGGTGGATTCTTGCATAGACCAGCTAGTGTATAGGGATCCGAGGTAGTCCCATCAAACTAGTACAGATCGTTTAGTGTCTCGGAACAAACCTACGTGTGATTATATTAACTTATTTGTCACCTGAGACCCATATTTCTATGATCATTAGTAGACTAAGCGAAGCTCTGAAAGGAAAGCACACTGAAAACCAGGTAGTCTTTATGGGCGGACGTCATTCCATAGGTCCTGGAACACAAGTATTCTTACTATTGTTCAATACATGCCATATTTCTTGACCTGATTGTGATATTTAACTGTTACCGTCCCTACTTATTTTAATTATGAATATAGTGGTGGATTTGACTATGGTCATCTCCAATGCTTCATAGATCTGTTCCTTACCAGGATAGTTTCGACGATGTAGAGTATGTATGTTGTAGTTCTTCTACGTGAAAATACTGAGGCTTCTGAATACATTGAGTAGAAGTCTGGGTATGTTTAGCATGCAATTCCCTTATCAAATGCACGAAAAATGGTGCTAGAAGACTAGTCTACACCGACTCAGTTTATAATGGGAATACAGTTTTTGAAGGTTTCCAGTATTCCTCTTGCTTGAGAAATCAAATCAATTCTGGTTGGTTAGCAAATAAATGTATAAAAAGTTGGCTTGACTCTTGGGCATGTGAGGTATCCATTTGCAATTTAATTATCGAGGACTGTACAGCAAGACTAGGCTAAAAACGTGTTAAGATCACGTTAAGGCAGTAATCCATAAATTCGCAGACTACTAGTTCGCGTCAGACAGATAAGCATTTGTAACGCAGTGGTTCACTTTAAATATTACCAGCTTAACAAAATGACCTGCATTTTTATCGATAACAGTCCACCACCTTGCACTTCAGACCTATGTTCTCCTGTCTTATCATTTTCTTCACCCTATATTGACTAAAGAATATTAGAGTATATAGATTTCTGGTGGACATAAACACAATATAGGTTAAGGTTATTTACCACATTTGCTGTAGAAGAGATCAATGGGGAACTCTAAGTGGATTTACATTAGTTCAAACTCTCGCACTTCAAAACAGCATGCAAAGAGAAGAAAGTATGTAGAATAGTGACACAGTAAACAGAAACAAGTACCAAACAAGAAAGAGTATTCAGAATTTCGAAGACAATAAGGAGTGTAAATACATTCGCACCATTGTGAGCCATCTCACTTAAAGTGATTCATGAATTACGTAACTTTAACTCTTCTACGTAATACTGGCCGAAAATGACCTTATAGACTGATGCCATGTTTTAGTATGGACACATACTCTTCTCCTTCGTCATCCAAGATTCTTTACACAGGAAAGTGATAAACTCACAAGTTTAACACATATCGCAACCACCTCAATCGCGGAAGATTCACAACCTGTTTGATTAGTTACTTATCCAACACTTTAGTCTAGTACTAATATTACTTAATATGTGATTCTAAGTAATCTGCAATCGTTTCATATTCTCTGTTCTAGATGACCATATCTTACAGTTCCACAGTAAGTAGGGCCAGCTATTTTGCAATTCATAAGGAGAGAAAACATATGCCACAGACTGTAACAATACAGGGGATAATTTAATGGTTAGTGGAAATGTTCGACGGTTTCGAATGGAACATAGAGTCTGAGCAGAAGATTGAATTTAGTCAATGCCTTTACCTAATTGTATTGTTTACTGCCCAAGAACTCACTTTTTTCAAGAGTTGATTTGTTTTTCAAGTTTGACCACGGATTGATATCAGTTTAAAAAACGATTGAAAACGTAACAGCTGTCCAGTACTCCCTGGTTTTTAATGTTTATGTAACTGTTATTATAATAGGGTAAGCAATACTGAGGTGAGGCGTCGATTGCTAGGTAAGGAGGGAAAATCTATCGAAGAGGTTGTGAAGACACTTCGACCGACATGGTTAGGACTCGCGTTACGTATCCCCAGCCATCGCCATTTTCGACCGACGGGCAATGTTAGCTGTCTGTCTGTCTGGATTGAACATAGAACTTGGCACCGAAGTGCAGCAGTTCGAGTTGCCACGTTCCAAATAGCACACAAAGGTAGACAGGAAAATGAGTGAAGAGAATCAATAGAGTTTTGACAAGTATGAGTGAAACAGAATGAGTAATGGTAGAAAGGAATATGAGAGATTACAGAGACTGAATACATCTGCGTAAGCCATTGACAACGATTTTGAGCCATGTCGCCCATTGTCTCCAGCCATTGATTCTTAGAGTCCCGAGGGCCCCAACCCGGAAGTCTGCATCTCCCTACCTGACTCAGTTTAACTGTCAAGGATTTCATGGATTGATGCCATGTTTTTGTTTGGCCACCTCTTACTCTTTTCCAACCTGCACCTGGAAGAGAGCTAGTGGTGGTCAAACCAAAACATGGCTTCATCAGTCAATCAAATCCACAACAGTTAGTTTAAGTCACGTAGGAAGGTGCAAGCTTCTTGGTTGGGTTCCTCGGGATGGTAAAAACCACTGGCTGGGGACAATTGGTGGAATAGCTCTAAATCGTTCTCAATGGCTGGCGCAGATCTATGCACTCACAGTGATTTATAATATCCAATAAAACTATATGGTTCCTCGATATTACTATCATTTTTGCCTCATATCTATGCTTTGCATTTCTTTTTACTTCTCTTGCTTTGTGTGCTATTTGAAGTGTGGCGACTCAAACTGCTGCACATCTTTGCAAAAGTTCTACGTTGAAACCAGTCGGTCAGTCAACTGTTATTAATTCATTGTCAAACTCACTTCTTATTTGAACAAATTACTGATATCATTCATCTTTTTGAATTAATAAATGTATTCCATATTTTATAGATTCGCTAATGTCGATCCCCAAAATGCAGTTAGCCAGACTGACTTCAAATTCTATACTTCCTTTCATCAGCCAACAACAAATAAGAACATTCAACGTATCGACAGGAGGTTTAGGATTTAGACAAAAGATTGCCTATAAAACAAGATATCATTGGATGCTAGATTTAAAAAAGAGCAGAGCTCGTGCCAGAAATCCTTGGATTCCCAAGTTTGTTTTTCTAAACTACCTAATTTTAAATTCATCTTTGTTTATAGAGAACCTGTAACAAGCATGGAAATTGATGGACAGAAAATTGAATTCCCTGAAATGTATTTAGACTTTATTGTACCCAAAGACCTAGAAAATTGTGAATTAAAGCCTTATGTGTCATGGCGATCAAAAGAAGTTGGAGAAGGACCATTGACAGCTGAAATTTTATTCGAACAAAGATATTTACAAAAAATCACTGAAATGTATAAAAACGGTGCAAGTAAAGAAGAAATTATGGAATATGTGAAAAGAACAAACTGTTGTTAGGGTAGACAAAATTAGTCAGAATAACGAAAAAAAATCATTAACTGTAAAAAGCTTATTATTTTTTAGGTTTCAATTGTATCACATTTTGTAATTTAGCTGACTTGTAATCAGTTCGAAGTTGAATAAAATTCATCAATAAGTCTTTCGGTATTCCAGATTGCAGATAATCTTGAACAACTTGTTGTACATTTTCCGGTTTAATTAACATCAAATTCATTAACTTTAATAGCACATCAAAAACTAGATCAACTGTTGGACTTTCAAAATGCTTTGCAACTTCTCGATAGGCTGTTACATCTTGCATTGCAATAAATCCACCTAAAAATGTATATAATGAACAATACCAATTTAATTGAAAATATCGATTTAAGAGAGTATAGTGAAGAATATGGACACGTAAGACTGTCATTCATTTAGTAAGCAGTATGCTGTGAGAAAAGAGACAAATAGTAAATGTATGCCTAGTGAGAGTTTACCATAATGTAAGTGATTGTAAACATTTTTGTAATAGTCACTTCAGATCGATATTTAATGAAAAACAACACATGTTAGATGGTGACCGATCAATATAAATAAAGTATATTCTCCTGAAAAGTGTTCTTAAGTGATGACAGTGCTTTAAATTTATGTGAAATACGATATTTAGACAGATTATGGGCGAGGTTGTTACATTCCGGCTGCTCGTATCGTGGAGGTTGATTTCTTCTTGGAGTTCCTGGAACAAAGACAGTGTTAGTGTTGCGCGACAGCAAAGCCCATAGGTCAGCTGCTTTTCCGGCCGGGTGCACACGGCCTGTCTGAAGCGGCTTTTGAAGTTCTGCCCTTACTAATAAGATCTTACCGCCTCAAGTTAAGTTGGCATATACAGTTTTTAGGGTTGACTTTTTCTGAATCCCCCTCTCTAGAGCGGAGAGACAGCATAGATGGCTTGTTGTTCGTTTGAGGGAAACACTACTGTTGTTACATCCCTATTCGCCAGCAGTACGACTGTGCCCACAGATCTCCAACACAGTATAAACGATTTACGCATACTATGGTGGTAACTGCTTTTGGTGTAACCACTATCCAAACGACCTTTCTGCCAAAGTAAAACCTGCAGGAACGTCGCTGGCTGGACGTCATCGTGATACAGTATTAATAACTGGGTGACGTTTCGAGCACAATTTACTGCTCATAATCATATGTATCCATATATCCGGGTATAGGCGTTGAGTCATCTCGATTACATGTGTTTGGTGTTGATTTGATGAACAAAGATCCGGTGTTTATCCTCTTTCATCACCTAACTATATTACCTTTTAATACTATCCCACTCTAATGTGTGATTACATGCAAGTGAATGCATTGCAATGACTGAGTTTTCTCTCTAGGTTATTTGACTTAGCAGGGTCAATCATTCTAAATCTAGCTAAACTTCTAATTGACCAACATACTAGTTTAACCTATGTAATTAACCTAAAAGTCATTGCATGGTGTTTAGTAAATTATATTACTTTCTTAATTGGGCCTATCGGGTCCTTAGGCCGACTAAAGTTGTCTCTGAGTCAGTCGGCTGGTTTAAATGCCACCCTAATTCCAACCTCACTAAAAATTTCACATAAGGCCTTCTTCATACGGCAATTATTACGAGAGAGAAATTATACTCCAAACGTCATCCATATGATATCAAGTAAATCAGGCTTATAGAGAACTATAGTATACTAGTACTGTTCTCTTATACAGGTAGAAAAAACCACATTGAAAGCCAATTCATCAATTAGGGAGTTTAACAATTTCAGCAGAACAGCAATAGACCTGTAAGATACCAGCTAATGTGCATCACATCCCTGGAGTTCGTTGATAAATTGTAAATTCAAGTGTTTAGACTCTCTAGAGGAACAATTCTGCGTTTACCGTAACTGCTAATCCTAACCTAAACCTAGTTCGTGACCTTAATCTAACCTTAACCCTAAAAGATAGATAAATGGGATTCATAGGCCTTGGCTGAAGGTTACTGTCAAGGTCTTTGGTGCCTGCTATAGTTCATCTTTACTTACAATCGTCTAGTTTTCCGTAAACTAAATAGGATATGGATGCACTGTTTCTATCAAGTCTAGTTGTATTAGTTAGACGCGTCGTACCCTATCGGATTACGCATCAATACGCTTAGTTCTTAGTGTTTTCCAATCTGAATGAATTATACCTTTCTTCCCTTAGTCTTTATTCCAACCAAGATTGCCAATTCCCTTGTCGTTGAAAAAACATCTAAACAGTGCTTGTTACTCTTCAGGAGTACACATCCAGTCCTTAATGAACAGTACTGATTGATTATACGATGGATGAAGTTGCCTGGAGTTCTAGCGGAAAGTCGTAATTAGTCCACCAAGTCTGGTGTGAGGACAAATACTCGCTGATGACACTGGCTGGCAGTAGCGAATTGACAGAAGTCAAAATTTATGAAGCATTGGATCAACAGGCTGGCCCCATAACCTGAAGATTATGGCTTCGATCTTCGGAGGGGTCATTTGTTCGTACTACTGGAGTCCCAAACTGGAATGAAACATCTATCTACCCGATACTCCTTAGTTTTCAATAGTTCTCTAACTGGTGTCAGTTTACGATCTAACTCAAAATTTTAAAAAATGCTTGGAAATTTATCGGTTAGCAGAATTATAATGATTGCTTTGTTGCAAACTGAGTTTTACTTACCTGTATCCGAGAAAGTGAAATTGTAAAAGTGATCAACCAGTGTACGATTTAATTTCATACCAAATTCGTGTAAAAATGTTTTCAAATTTTGACCATCTAAGTGTTGATGAGCTTCACGATTGACTTGATTTAAAAAGGCCACCACATGTTGACATGCCTTTTAAAAAAAAGTGATTAAAATACCAATCATACATTCTGACAGCTTAAACTTTTATTTATTTATTTTAAACTGTAGAACATTAATAATATGAATATTATTAATGCCAACTGCCTCCAACTATCTAATATCATCAAATCAATGTGCACCGTGGTGGCGAGCTACCTAGAATGGTGGCCACATTGCAAAACCTGACTGATAGAATTCGGTCTGCACCAAAGAAAGGACTAGACACGTCACACTAGTTACTAGTGTCCAATCAAAATACCCACTACAGTCCTAGAGGAGGTCAATCGCGAGCCCGAATAACTCAGTTGTAACGTCTCTGACTGCAGCACTGCGTGACGCGGGTTCGAATCTCAGAAGGGACATGAGTTCCTTCAAGGTTGCAGATACGCCTTGCTGATGAGTGCCAACTAGCACGAAACCTAGATCGAAGGCTTCCTGCCGATTGCCTCCAACTATCTAATATCATGGTAAAATGTAAGTTTACACATAATGTTGGGATTCCTCTCTGGGATCATTTGTCTTACAGAATCTAATTTGCAAATTCCTATTATAGTTCAACGGGGTGAGATTTCACCACAGTTTCGATTCGAAACCGAAATTGTTCAGATTACAATATGTGTGTGTGGTCTGTTTGATATCATAAATGCCAATCAAGATAGTGAGTACAAATCCATGAAACTGTGTACTACCACTCATACCAATGCCACTGGTGCTTGTTAGTCATAACGAAGTCATCTAAATACCACTCGGGCGTTTCGCTCGTTTGAGTCTGAGATCGTCAGTAGTGTACCCGGTTTTAACTCAGCTCAGAGAGCCATTTGGGTGAACTGGTAATATATATGGAATCGAATTCACAATTCCGTTGAACCAGAATCCGGGTAGTTTGAACTGAGTCACACCGGGCAGGCCACTGATGAGATGGACTCTACAGGGCGCGGTGAAATGGTTGTCCCGTGTTTAGGTGACTTCGACCTAGCTAGTACTCACCACTGATTGATGTGAGATTGGTATCCCACTGCTGATATCAGTCAGTTAATTAGTAGTAATATGGCGTCGCTATTCTTACATTTAACAGAAACATGAATATATCGTCTCTTATTTTTCTTACATTGAATGATATTTTTTTTGTTATTCCTTCACGTTCCCCAGTGGAACATAGGGCTTCAAGCTAAAGGCTTGAAGTTTCTGTAGCAGTGTTTTATTTTTACGGGATGGGGTTGCTAGCCTCATGCCCAACCTTTCCTCTTCACCAGCTTTAGTTCTGGCTTAGCGGGGGTAAAGGAGTGCGTCGGTGACCGGGAATCGAACCCCGGACCATGTGCATGGTCGGCGAGCGCCCTAACCGCTATGCCACCGACGCCTGAATGATATTACTTTCATTCTATTTTTTACTAACTGCTTAATAGCATAAAAAGTTTATTTATGTTCTTATTCTATATGATTTAGTGCAAAATAGTTTAGCTTATGAAAACGTAAGACAAGCTAAATGATACATAAAGCCTTGTAAGCATCATGTCTTCAACAAAAATCTATGCAAACATTGCTGATATAAATAAGTGTAAGCGGAAAGATGATAACACTGTTGTAAATTCTGTTTTAACATGCTTATTATTATTATCATCACCAAGAGAACAGAACTTCCACTTGTGTTGTCAAATGTTAATTGTTTAAAACACCACTCTATTTCGTAGCATTGTAGTTCCGACAGATTAACTACAAATATCTTTCTGTATCATTTTAACCGTGAGCATTTCATTCATGCATTTATAAACAATAACAAACAAGTTACTCGACTATTTTATCATAACGACGGTTACTCATAATTATTAACTGGCTATCCAAACCTTGGTAAATCAGGTCGATTTCAAACTTAGGAAGTTCTTAAAGATGGAGGATGAAATTGTCATATAAACAATCAAAAAGATATGGGATACAAGTTGATTTATCGGAAGAAACCACCACCACCTAATGTCATTAGATCCTGCGAAAGTCATAGGTGGCTTACAGGCTTAAGTATTCTCGATCCGACTCCTTCCCGAACCTAAAAGACTGGAGAGAATCATCAACCATCACACAATAAGTGTAGCTAATAACCTGGTACATGAGAAATCTATCCTCAGGAATTGAGTTCAAATAAACAATTATATATAATAGCTAGGAGTAAGTACA